TGAAATGGAAATGTTACATTTTTTTTCATTTTACATTCTCCGCCATGTCTGTCTTTGTTGTTGTATGTGGTAATATGTAACTTCAGAAAATACAAAAATAAAAGCAACAACAACAACAACCAGCAATATTTTTCGAAAGTTTGCGCCGTCATTAAGAAGTAAGCGTATGATCGATCTTTGCCGTTTTTTTCTTCTCATTTTTCTTTTTAGTAACGAAACACAGACAACAACAACAACTACAACAACAGCAAAAATTAATGAAAACAAAAATCTGCCTTTCACAAAAAGCTTCAACCAAACCAGCCAGAACAACAACGTAGAAGAAAACTCAATGTGTGCTTGCTTCTCGGCAGATCTCTCTTGTTCTCTAGTGGGGCACCATTGTGTGTGTCAAGAGTTAATGGAAAAGTTGAGAGTTCATGGTTGCCATCACATAATAATAATAATAATGCAATTAGTTCCTATGAAGAATTGGGATTATCGAGGACATTACATGACAGAAGAATACAGGTAGTACATGTAGACAATGAACTGTCAAACAAATGTTGGAATTGACATTTTTTAATGAAAATTTATTGAAATCTGTAAAAATTGTTGAAAAATGCTTATCACAACAACATCCGATTTGCGTCGTATAAGAAAACATATAAACATCTAATTATTGTTAAAAAAACGAAAAACATTTTAAATTTTTTGACACATCAATGTTCCCAAGCATTGATGCATGTACCTGTATTTTTCTACCATGGTTCCTATGAAGAGTTCTGATTATAGAGGACATTATAAGTGTACTGATGTTATATTCATGGTAAAATTAAGAGGGTAACGTCATTTCAAATAATCATACCCATCTCTGCATTTTCTATCATTTACCTTGTCAAATGTCACTGTATAGAAAACAGCTTCCATCTCTAATTTGTGTAGATACAATGAATTCATTTTGACAATTAGATAATTTTGAAAAAAATTGTAAACATATGATTGCATGACTTTACCTTCTTAATTCTACCGTGGTTGTATTTTGGAAGCCACTGGATATTTTAGAGAAATAACTAATTTTTATATTGTTTATATTATTTCAAGTAGAGATGCTCAAGAACAAGAGCTCGCTCACCAGTGCAATTTCTCTTAGCCTTTTGATATCATCAAATAATTTTTAAGTTTTGTATTTTTTAGATATCATAAAGGAAAAATCGATTATCGTAGTAAAAAAAAAGTTATATATTCTTGTAGTTCTGGAACAGAACAATTATTTACATATATTTTTTTATAAAGTGCTTAATTAATATTTTAGACAAGACTAAGCATTTGAAAAAATTGTTAAATATAAGGAAAAATATAATTTATCTTTTCTCTAAAATGAACTCTTTTCCGGGTTGATTGCTAGCTTTTTAAAATCTAAGCAATAGCTGTATCAGCCCTGAAAGAAGGACTTTCCCCGAAATGTAAATGGATGAAAAAACTGCAACCAACTTCAGACTGCTGTCATTTCTAAGCCACTCGTTAAACAGCTGTTAAAATTGTTCCAGTGACAGCTCATTATATTGTTTAAAAGAGTACAAGAGCATTTTGGTGAGAATTTTTCAGAAAAAAGTTATTCGTTATGGAATTTAAGCGTAATAGTGTGATTTCTTTATATTTGGCTGGAAAACCACAAGTGGCTATCGTTAGAGCACTCCAGCAGCATTTAAATGTGAATAAATCTTTTGTGTCTCGTACCATCGCTGGTTATCGTGATACTGCTGGCGTAGCTCGAAGTCAAGGAAGTGGAAGTGGAGAAAACAGCAACATCATCAGAAATGGTTCGAGAAAAGTAAAGAAGCGACTTGATCGAATCCCGAGCCCGAAAAATGGCTCGTGAGCTGAACATATAGCATTATTCCATTCGGCATATATTAAAAAATGAGCTCGAGGTAAAGTCATTGAAATTCCAAAAGGTGCAAGAACTTACATCGCAACATAACAGCCGATCAGAATAAATGCCGAATATTATCGCGAAAATATTCTGGAGGGTGTATTAAAACCTTGGGCGCAAACATTTTAGCCGCAGACCTTAGACATTTCAACAGGACTCAGCACCATCGCACTCAGCAAGCGCCACACAAGAATGGTTACAAAATGAGGTTCCTCGCTTCATTTCCAGCGCACAATGGCCACCAAAATCCCCGGATACCAATCCGTTGGTCTCTTGTGTCTGGAGCATTTTGAAAAGCAAGGTTGGCACTAAAAAATACCAAATTGTCGATCATCTCAAGCAAGCGCTTCGCCGGGAATGGGACAAAATACGGCAGAGCAACATTCGTGCAGCGTGTGACGGTTTCATTGGCCGTTTGAAGGCCATAATTCGTGTCAATTCAAACAAATCTAAACTTATTCTAAAATTTGATGCCGAAATTTTTTGCTTTCATTCAAAAAAAAAAAAATGTAAAAATCATAGCGTTTGACTTTGTTGGAGATTTTATAATTCAACCCGTTTTTAAGCAAAAAAGCTCTGAAGACTTCCTTGGTCCATGAAGCTCATATTTCATAAGGTACAATTCCCAGAGAGTAGCTCCTCTTAATGTGTGGAACGGGAAATGTTGACATTAAATGGCATGATATTTTCTAAACCAATTATATGCTGAATAATATCATTAAACTCATTTTTAAGTTAGCAACAAAAATCGGTAACTTTGAAACCCAAAGTTTTAATATAAAAAAAAGTTAAGGTTGACAACATTGATATCTAGCGTGTACTTTTTTTTGTCGCTATCTTAACGACAAATTTCTTTAAGTACCGAAATTATATTTATTTTTATTTTACATTGACTTTTGTCGGGTAACTTAAAAACGGGTTAGAGAATTCCTGCATTGATTTAGCTTTTTTAGAAAGTCTATAGTTTATATTAAAAATGTCTTGACATAGGATTGAAATAAATTCGCCCCATTCAGCTGTGAAATTCATTTTCCCAGTTAACGTTTTCAAGTTCCTTTCCTATCGGATATATTTTATTATTATTTTTTATGTTCAGGTTGTGGTCATTATTTTTTAATATTTGTATGCAATTTAACATAAAGTAGTTACATGTGCCCTTTTGCTCGTGAATTGAAAATATAATTTAATAGTACACTTACAGTACACCAGATACAATAAAAACCCCATTTACATTTATTTCAAATAAATCCCCTTAAAAAAATATTAACCCGCAAAACCTGTAATGTAAACATATTATAAAGCATGGGACAGTAAAAAGGTAAGACAGAGCTACCAGCTGATTACATTTTTTTTTTCTAAGTGTGCCCGACTTCTGCCACTTTTGTGTATGTATTTAATATTTTGAAAAACAAAATATTTTCAAAATCAATGATTGGAAGAAACTTAAATTGCGGGGAGCGCATTATTGATATTAACCAAATTTGCCATGGAATTGAAAGATTGAACACTTAGGATCATGTTTTTGAGAGAACATTCAGGCATTTCATTCATCTTTCGCGCTATTTGACTCATTTTAAGAAATGAACCAAAAATATATCATATAAATGAAAAAAAACTTGTTGTATATAATTTTGAATAATTCTGACAGGAAGCGGGCATAGCCTTAGTGCTGTATTTCTGTAGTTTTAAGAATTTGTTCTACCTCCTTATTGTACCATGCTATAAAGCTCAAAATCCCAGCATATTTGGTTGGAGATTGTGTGCGAATTTTGTATTTATTTCACTTTCCATTTCAAATGGTTTTTCTCTTACTACTTAGTGTCTAAAAAGTGCATTTTTTGTAAAAGTCAAAGTGTTTTAAACTACATATAATTTCCATTTATTTCCAAAACTAAAAAAACATAGCAATGGCAACCATGCTACTATTTGTGTTTTGTGTACAATGAGAGCTTATGATCACACTCTCTCTCTCTTTTGTTTTTTGGTGAGTAACCAAAACATAGACTGTGTAAGTATGGGAGATATGGAGGATTGCATTAAAAAGTGTACATAACAATACCCCATAAAAAATATCAGAGGCAGCAGCAACAGCAATAATAACAACAACAATAAGAAACAGAAAACATTTCGTAAGTTTTTGTGAAACTTTGACGACGACGAAGAAGAAGTAGAAAAAAAGTGGTAATATTTATCGCAAGTAGTTTGGTTATTGGTGTTGTTGTTGGTTGCTTTGAACAAAATTGCGACTTCTTCGCTCTTGCTGTGAAACACAACAAACCAACAAAGAAACTATTTTATTTTGTATGTTGGCTTTAAGAAATTGAATTATACGCAGCAATAAAAAATAACAACTAAAGAGAAATAAATTCAAATTAAAAGAAGAAACTTTAAGTGAAGGTCGAACATGCATGGGTTTGTTTGTATGTTTTTTTTTTTTTGTAATTTTTATGGTGAGAAGAAGAAGATGGACAGACACGGACGGCCTGGCAGAAAAGTGATCACTTGAATGTTGAGTAGTTGGAAATATATTGTAAGTTCACAGAGAGTGTGTGTGTGTGTGTGTGTGTGTGTGTGTGTGCGTGTTTGTTTTTGTTGAGTTCAGATACTTTTTGTTGTTGTTGGTATGTATGCCCCATTGTAAAGTTCCATTTAATGTAGCCATATAATTCATGTAAAATATCTTTAGTTTTGTTTTTATTGGGGGGCCTATGCTTTTGTTTTTTTATTGTGTATTCTTCCTCTCTTTCACTTATGCTCGCTCTTTTTGTATTTTACTCATTATTTGTTTTTATGCACAGAGACACTTCCCCAGCCTGTCATCCATCTATCCAGCTGGATGGTATGTTTAGTGAATGCCTGTCTGTATGTGTATGGGGGCAACCAGACATGCATGCATGCATGCCTTTCTGCCCAAGAGATGTAATAATAATAAGACACAATGCCGTCGCTGCGACGTCGCCGTTAATTTGTGTGTTGTGTGTGGCGCAGTAAATGCTAGTAGTTGTGGTCGTTTATACACGACCTACATAAAAGAAAATTATTCACTTTTGAAAAAAACACTACAACAACAACCAGACAAACTTACCTCTTTCATTTACAATAGTTTTGCTGTTGTTGTACAAGTCCCAGAAGAAAAAAAAAAGAAACACGTAGTAAAAAATTTCTTAACGCTTGGGGTAGTGAAGATGATGATGATGGTAGTAAGGATGAATTGTGGATTTCTGGAGAGGAGTTTACGATCCGTTTAATAATTTTTTTTGTCACAAATTTATTTTGTTGTAAATTTATAAATTAATTTCCATAATTCTTGCTTATTTTTTTACTTTCGTTTTGTACTTGTCTTGTGTGTGCCACAATATTTTATTGCATTTTTATTTTCTCTTGTTTCTTTCTTTCGTTTTACTTTTTCTTATAAAATGCCTGCTGTTGTTGATCTCTGATCATTTTAATCATTAACTTCATTATGAGCACTTTATTAATAATAATTATTAACATAACAACAAGAACACATTCACTTTTTTGTTTTATTTGTTGTTGTTGTTTTTTTTTATTTTCTTCTTCTTTTGCAATTGAAGTTTTAAATTCTGAATCCTCTGTTTTTTTTTTTTTTTTTTTTTTTTGTTTTCAATTAAGTTCAAACATTTGCTTGCAGTTGGTTTACAAATTTCTTCTTCTTCTTGTTTTCAATGGAATATCTTACCCAGCTAGCTGAGCAATTTTTTTCCGATTCGCTATTTTTTTTTTGTTTTTCAATTTTATTTCTTTCAATTTTGTATTATTGTGAAACAACATGGGGGAGCTATTGCGCTTGGGTATCTTTTATATTTTTTTCTTCTTTTTTTTTTGTGATTTTTGCTTAGTTATTGTCTCCGCGCGTTGTAAATTCCATTCGCCAACCACACAACAGCTCTTTTTTCCGAGTAATACAACGACGATGTGTGTTGTGTTTTTCGTACAGCGTTTTCGAAAACTTAAACCAAAAAAAAATCAATCCATGTAGCCGTTGTTTGTTGTCGAAATCATAGTGCCCAAGACCGACGTAGAAGAAGAAGCAGAAGCAAAAGAAATAGACTTTCCAAAACACCCAACAGGTTTTCCGCGACTGCTTGGTTAAATATCACTTTTCTTACTGTGCCGAAACTTTTAAGTAAACATATTTCGTGGTCTAAAACACAACTGCAGCAGTAAAACTTCATGCTTAGCTTTTGTTGGTTTCATATTTGTTGTTGTTGCTGCTAGCGTTTTTGGTTTGCTGCTGGTGATCAACACCATCTCTTTTTGTGAGTGTGCCCAATAGTTGTTGTTGCTGCTGGTATTTCAATGCAATTGTTGTACTAGATACGTTTTATTTTCTCCTTCGTTTTGTTTTGCTTTTTTGGTTTTTTACTATTAAGCGCGACGATCACAAAAATCCACTCTTCTGACAACAACACTCACTCCACTCCACTGGCGGCCCGACTGGTTGCTCTGCCTAATTGTGTGCGGAGAATTTTGAATTTTTTTTCCATCATCGACCAACCGAGTATAACGACACTGTTACAACTTTCATGTGGTGTGAATGGTTTTTTGGTATTGAGTAATTCTTCTTTTTTGTTGTTGTTTGTTAATATTGATAATGCATAGAAATACGCTCTCCCTCTCTCTCTCTCTCTCAGTTTGGCTTGCAAAAGCTCAGCAAGAGAAAGACCAATGGAAAAATATTCATGAATGGTTGATGTTTTCACATAACAGACAGATAGAGAGAGAGAGAGAGTACTCTCTCTTCTCAACAAAATTTACATGAAAGCTTTTGGTGTTATGAGAATCCCATGAATCATGGAGGGGGGCAAAACAAAATCTCTCCCCCATCTCTTTGATGGAAAAGGAACATTTAGCAACTCTTCACTAGGAAATGCCAAACTAAACGAAACAAAAAAAAACAACTGAGAGAGAAGACAGTGTTTCCATTTGAGATTTTGTAATCATGACTTAGGTAGCTGGGCTGAATGGCTGGCTGGCTAATTAACCAACAAAAAAAGACTTTCACATACAACAATAAACCCTTGCCCCCTTTCCACCTACCCCCTCTTCAAAGCAAATCACATAATATTAGTGTGGCGGCTCCATTGGCATTTTCTGTGTGTGTGTTCGGGCTTTAAGAAGTTTTTGAAAAATAAAAACAATTTCAAGGACATTCATAGCGAGAGTAAAAGCCAAATGTGTGTGTGTGCGTGTGTGTTTGGGGCTAGTAAAACAGAAAACCCCCAAAGCATAAGCTGCGTCACAAAGAGAGGCTTACCTTAACAGAAACCACTATTTGTGTGTAGGAAAAAAACCAAATACCACAAGTCATTTCCCTAAACAAAAAGTTTGCCAAGATATTTCTAGAAATGCCTATCTCTACCTATAAAAACTGTAATATTTACTATATTATTGCCTTCTCAATACTATTGGAGGCCATTTTCTAGCTCTGACTGACTGACTCTTTCATAATATTTAAATTGTTTATCTAAACTTTTCTCGGGGGTTTCCAAGGTTTCCCTCAAACAGTTGGGCGCCATTTTTTTGGTTCTCATTTCATTTGGGCGCCATTTTCTAGCTTTATTTTATGATACATTTTGAAGATGAGTCTTTCATAAAATTGCATTTTTATCTAAACTTTTCTCGGGGTTTCCAAGGTTTACCTCAAACATTTGGGCGCCATTTTTGGCCTTCATTTCTTTTGGGCGCCATTTTCTTGCTTTATTTTATGATAAATTTTGAAGATGAGTCTTTCATAACATTTCAACCTCTACCGAGGTTTCCCTCAAACATTTGGGCGCCATTCATTGTTTGACAAATTCCCCTCAAACAGTTGGGCGCCATTTTTGGTCCTCATTTCATTTGGGCGCCATTTTCTAGCTTTATTTTATGATACATTTTGAAGATGAGTCTTTCATAATACGAGCATTTCCTTTTTATCTAAACTTTTATTTGGTTTTTCTAGAATTCCCTCAAACATTTGGGCGCCATTTTTGTCCTTCATTTCATTTGGGCGCCATTTTCTTTATTTTATGATACATTGTGAAGATGATTTTTTCATAATATTTCAACCTCTACCGAGGATTCCCTCAAACATTTGGGCGCCATTCATCGTTTGACAAATTACCTTTAAACATTTGGGAGCTATCTTTGGTCCTCATTTCATTTGGGCGCCAATTTTTTAATGTCAAATTATAAGGGGAAACGATGGCAGGATTCTGGCATCCCTTTACGATACGTCCAAAAAATTGGCCATGCGAAGACTTCAAGCTGCTTATGCACTCGCAACTTTATAAAGAATGGATGTCATCGGTCCGTATTCCAATACATTTTCAGAGTGGCGATCATTCAAAAGAAATATAAAACTTGTATTTTCAATACTATGGGGCGCCATTTCCTATTTTTAATATATGATTTCTAAGATTATTTTTTTTTTTTTGATAAACCCATAGGCTACTTAAATAGTTGGATTCAACAATTTCTCAATTATTTGGGCGCCATTCATCGTTTGACAATTTCCCCCTCAAAAAAAGGACAGGAACTTAAGGTGACGATACACAAGCAGCTTGGCATCATGGCTAGGCATATTAATGTCAATTTATAAGGGCAGACGAAGGCAGTATTCGAGTGCAGCTCTGGCATCACTTTAAGATATTTTAAAAAATAGGCCATGCAAAGACTTCAAGCTGCTTATGTACTAACAACTTTATAAAGAATGGATGTCATCGCTCTGTATTCCAATACATTTTCAGAGTGGCGATCGTTCGCAAGAAATATAAAACTTGTCTTCTCAATAATATTGGGCGCCATTTCCTGTTTTTAATATATGTTTTCTAAGATCGTTTTTTAAATAGTTGGGTTCAACGGATTCTCAATCATTTGGGCGCCATTCATCGTTTGACAAATTCCTCAACAAAGGACAGGAACTTAAGCTGACGGCATCATGGCTAGGCATATTAATATCAAATTATAAGGGGAAAACAACGGCAGGATTCGAGTGCGGCTCTGGCATCTCTTTATGATATGTCAAAAAATAGGGCATGCAAAGACTTCAAAGCTGCTTATTTACTCACACCTTTATAAAGAATGAATGCCATCGGTCGGTATTCCAATACATTTTCAGAGTGGCGATCGTTCAAAAGAAATATAAAACTTGTCTTCTCAATACTATTGGGCGCCATTTCCGACCTCTATTATATGATATCTAAGATAATTTTTTGATAAACCCATAGGCATGACCTATATAAATAGTTGGGTTCAAAGGATTATTTTTTGTCAATCATTTGGGCGCCATTTTTTGTTCTTCGTCTTATAACAATTTTCCATATAATATTTTACGAATTCGCTTAAGGCCTAACGACGCCATGAATGGCATGCCTTTCGGTATTCCAAAACATTTTCAGACTTGGTGAGATAAAAAAACTGCAACATTTTTTAAATTTCATTGAATGAAAGCAAAAAATTTCGGAAATAGCGGATTATTTTTTTTTTCTTTCAATCATTTGGGCGCCATTTTTTGGTCTTCGCCGTATAACAATTTCCCATACAATACGTTACGAATTCGCTTAAGGCCTAAAGACGCCATGAATGGCATGTCTGTCGGCACTCCACAATATTTTCAGACTTGTGCCAGAATATGAAAAAAACATAGCTTGACTTGAGGATATATCTGTGGTTTTCCAGCCAAATAAAAAGAAATCACCCTATCACGATAGAATTCCATCACGAAAAACATTTTTTCTGGAAAATGCTTCTGTACGCTTGTAAACAATATAATGAGCTGTCACTGGAATAATTTTAACAACTGTCGGACGAGTGGTTTAGAAATGAGAGCAGTCTGAAGTTGGCTGCAGTTTTTTCCATTTCACCCTGGATTTTAAAAAAAGTTTTCAAAATTCAATTGGGCGCCATTTGTGATTTTCCACCTATAATTTCTATATAAGTAATTTCGGACTTCGGACACATGTTATAATAATTTTTAGGCTGTTGTAAAAGTACGGCATATGTTGAGCGTTATCCCCCAATTTGTAAATATTTGAACGCTTTTTTATCTTTATCGTATAACATAAATTACATACAAGTCATTGCGGATTCTCTGTGGAATATTTTCCATGTTATATCAAAACATTTTTAGAGTAGGACTTGGACAAGAGAAGTAATATTTGATTTAATGAACTAAAATGGTTATCAGCTATCGATTGGGCGCCATTTATTTATAAAACCAAAAGTTTAGGAATTGTTTTAAAAATTTTATTTCCGAATTCACGTTTCCTTAAAATATTTTTCATAGGCTTTCAGTTGTCTTTTCGACAGATTATAGGGATAATTTAGGCCCGTCGGTACAAATATATCACCCTGTATGTGGCTGCAAAGAAATTAAATATTTTTTAATAATATTATTTTTTAATGGGAAATCCTCCCGCTTACCTTCCAATGTCACCATTATAACCAACTTTGAAGCCCTCTGGTAAATTTAGCACCGGATTTCCGGCCAGACACCAGGTTGGCAATTTACTCGAGGCATAGAATGGATAGTCAAAGGCATTTATATAGATTTGTACACTCAGGCCATGACTGCTGAAATAGGGTTGACTCAAAATGGCCGGCTGTGTATAGCCGCAGTGGCCCAGCAATATATTTTGATGGCAACTACGAAATTGTGTACCCTTATCTAGACTGGCATAATAGCAGGCCACATTTTCGGCAGCTTCACGATGGGCCGCATAGCTGAGAAAATCAAAGCCAGGTCCGGCAATGTCACACACTAGAAAAAAATGTAAAAACAAGAAACTTAAACAGTAAAGCTCGCTAAGCAAGTTTAAACCCCCGACTCAAAGACCTCCCCTTCGATACTTACTATCAATCTGCTTAAACATATAATCATTGTAATGTATCAATTGTCTGCCAATTTTTGATGCCAATTGACCGCCATAACTAAAACCGAACATATAGCCATTTGCCGGGTCAACACCTCTACGTATTAGTTCAAGAATTTCTTCGTATAAAATATGACTGATAATATCGAATTTTTGTACCAAATCCAAATAGGGTTTCTTGGACCAGTTGCTGTAGTCTATGCAAATTATACAGCCGCCACGATAAAATGTCAAACCTAAAAATAAAAAAAAATAAAGAAAATTAAAAATTTTCACTTGAGGTGTGAACATGGTATAAATGCACATGAGATATTTACACACTTTGTGTGAATATGCCATTAGTTTAAAAAATGTCAAAATGATAAATAAATAAAAATGTATAAAAGAGTGAAATATAAATTCTCGGTGCGAACATGGTATAAATGTCACACCTAAAATAAAAATAACATTTATAAACAAAATGATAAATTTCCACGCAAGGTGTGAATATGCCATAATATGCTTATAAAATGTCAAACCTAAAAATATTTAAATTTAATTAAAAGTAACATGTTCCACTTGCGGTGTAAACATGGTATAAATGTCAATGATAAATTTACACTCCAATATGGAATGAATATGAAAATGTCAAAACCATAAATAAATAAAAATGTATAAAAGAGTGAAATATATACTCTCATTGTGAACATGATATAAATGCCACATTTAAAATAAAAACATTTATAAAAAATTTTTAATTTCCAATCAAGGTGCGAATCTGCCATAGCATGCTTTTAAAATGTCAAACCTAAAAATATATAAATTTAATTAAAAGTAACATATTCCACTTGAGGTGTGAACATGGTACATGGTCAATGATAAATTTACTGTCCAGGTGTGAATATGGCATTAAAGTTTTAAAAAATGTCAAAACCAAAAATAAATAAAAATGTATAAAAGAGTGGAATGAATACTCTCGGTGTGAACATGGTATAAACGTCGCACCTAGAATAAAAAAACAAAATTTATAAAAAATCATAAATGTATACTCAATGTGTGAATATGCCATTAGATTTTTTTAAAATGTCACAGCTAAAAATATATAAATTTAATTAAAAGTAACATAATCCACTTGAGGTGTGAACATGGTGTAACTGTCAATGATAAATTTACACTCCACACACATAAATAAAATGTATAGGAAAAGTGAAATATACACTCGCGGTGTGAACATGATATAAATGTCACACTTAAAATAAAAACAAAATATTAAAAAATTACAAATTTCCAATCAAGGTGTGAATATGCCATAAGATGCTTTTAAAATGTCAAACCTAAAATATATACATTTAATTAAAAGGAAAATTTTTACTTGAGGTGTGAACATGGTACAAATGTCAATGATAAATTTACACTCCAGGTGTAAATATCGAATGAATATGAAAATGTCAAAACCATAAATAAATAAAAATGTATAAAAGAGTGAAATATATATACTCTCGGTGTGAACATGGTATAAATGTCACACCTAAAGTGTGAATATGACATTAGATGTCTATAAAATGTCAAACCTAAAAATAAGAAAAATAAAGAAAAGTGACATTTCTCACTCGAGGTGTGAACATGGTATAAATGTCAATGAAATATTTATACTTATGGTGTGAATATGGCATTAGAGTTTTAAAACATGTCAAAACCATAAATAAAAATGTATAAAAGAGTTAAATATATACTCTCGGTGTAAACATGGTATAAAGTCACACCTAAAAAAAACAAAATTCATAAAAAAAATTTAAATGTACACTCAAGGTGTGAATTTGACATTAGATGTCTATAAAATGTCAAACCTAAAAATATATAAATTTAATTAAAAATAACATATTCCATTTGAGGTGTGAACATGGTATAAATGTCAATGATGAATTTACACCCCAGATGTGAATATGGCATTAGAGTTTTAAAAAATGTCAAAACCATAAATAAATAAAAATGTATAAAAGAGTGAAATATATACTCTCGGTGTGAACATGGTATAAATGTCGCACCTAAAAAAAAAACAAAATTTATAAAAAAAATGTTAATTGTACACTCAAGGTGTAAATATGCCATTAGATGTTTTTAAAATGTCAAACCTTAAAATAAATTAAACTTATAGAAAAGTGAAATATACACTCGCGGTGTGAACATGATATACAGGATGAGATGAAAAAACTACAACCAACTTCAGACTGCAGTCATTTCTAAGCCACTCGTCTGACAGTTGTTAAGATTATTCCAGTGACAGCTCATTATATTGTTTACAAGCGTACAAAAGCATTTTGGCGAGAATTTTCCAGAAAAAAATGTTATTCGTGATGCAATTCAATCGTGATAGTGTGATTTCTTTATATTTGCCTCAACACACTTATAAAGGTGGCCATAAGAAGGATATCAATGATTAATAGTTCCCCTCAGAATATACTTACGTTCTCTCAGATTGCCAACCCATTCTGTACTACAACTTTCCGTCCAACCATGAAAAATAAACGAGGTTTTTTCATTGCCTCCACATTTGCGGGCCACATATGAGATGGCTTCTTCCGATTCATCACCAGGCGACAATTTGGCCAGTAAATTTCCATTTCTATACAAAAAAAAAAATGTAAATAAATTTATAATTTAAATATATATATAATATCATGTAGGTCCACGTTTTGGTATAGCTCCCATATAATGGTACCTCCCTATTTTCGGTATTTTGGAGATTTTAGCGACATTATTCATCGGAATTCTTTCAAATTTGGTATTTGAAGTTAGAAAAGGATGTCATAGCCTATGGCAGAAAATTGTCTGTGCAGGTTCACGTCTTCGTATAGCCCCCATATAATGGTACCTCCCCTTATTCGGTATTTTGATGATTTTAGCTACATTATTCACCGGAATTATTTCAAATTTGGTATTTAAAGTTCGTATTGGATGTTATAGCCTATGGCAGAAAATTGTCTGTGCTGGTCCACGTTTTCGTATAGCCCCCATATAACAGTACCTCCCGATATTCGGTATTTTGATAATTTTAGCGACATTATTCACCGGAAATGTTTCAAATTTGGTATTTGAAGTTAGTAATGAATACTACAGCCTATGGCAGAAAATTGCCTGTGCAGGCCCACGTCTTCGTATAGCCACCACATAACGTTACCTTCCGATATTCGGTATTTTGATGATTTTAGCGCCATTAATCATCGGAATTGTTTCAAATTTGATATTTGAAGGTCGCAATGGATGTCATAGCCTATGGCTGAAAATTGTCTGTGCACGTCCAAGTCTTCGTATAGCTCCCATGTAACGGTACCTCCCGATATTCGGTATTCTGATGATTTCAGCGCCATTATTCACCGGAATTGTTTCAAATTTGGTATATGAAGTTCGTAATGAATACTACAGCCTATGACAGAAAATTGTCTGTGCTGGTCCACGTTTTGGTATAGCCCTCATATAACGGCACCTCCCGATATTCCGTATTTTGATGATTTTAGGTGTAACGCCCAAAAGTCATGCTTTCGTTTTTGGGGTACATTATTATTTTAAATACCATTTTTACGTACTTATGTTATATACATCAACTATGAATTATATTTTTTTTGTTAAGTTATGAATTAAACTAACAGCTACTCAGGGTCATGTAATTTAAATGTATTTGAATATTAACGGTCACACAGGTCCCCTAGTAGAAAGAAGTATACTTAAAATACAACATTGGAACCCCTGGTGGCAAATGGCGGAACTACGCAAAACTGTCAGATTGGGATCAGCTGCTGTCATGAGAAAACAACAATCGTTGTCCAGCCAAAAAGGTATAAAAGGAGACGCATTTCACACAATCGGGATCAGTCTTCTGTTGATGGCTGGTAAGTCAAGTGTGATTGGGAGGAAGAAAAGGCGCGCAACCTCGGTTGAATTGAGTCTTAGTAAGCCAAACAATAAGCCTTGACTATTTGTGGTGACGGGACTGGACTGAACGCAGGGTCAAGTGAGGGTTGTAGCAATACTCCCTATTCTTCGGGCTGCGTTGACGGCGACTGAACGCAGGGTCAAGTGAGGGTTGTAGCAATACTCCCTATTCTTCGGGCTGCGTTGACGGCGACTGAACGCAGGGTCAAGTGAGGGTTGTAGCAATACTCCCTATTCTTCGGGCTGCGTTGACGGCGACTGAACGCAGGGTCAAGTGAGGGTTGTAGCAATACTCCCTATTCTTCGGGCTGCGTTGACGGCGACTGAACGCAGGGTCAAGTGAGGGTTGTAGCAATACTCCCTATCCTTCGGGCTGCGTTGACGGCGACTGAACGCAGGGTCAAGTGAGGGTTGTAGCAATACTCCCTATTCTTCGGGCTGCGTTGACGGCGACTGAACGCAGGGTCAAGTGAGGGTTGTAGCAATACTCCCTATTCTTCGGGCTGCGTTGACGGCGACTGAACGCAGGGTCAAGTGAGGGTTGTAGCAATACTCCCTATTCTTCGGGCTGCGTTGACGGCGACTGAACGCAGGGTCAAGTGAGGGTTGTAGCAATACTCCCTATTCTTCGGGCTGCGTTGACGGCGACTGAACGCAGGGTCAAGTGAGGGTTGTAGCAATACTCCCTATTCTTCGGGCTGCGTTGACGGCGACTGAACGCAGGGTCAAGTGAGGGTTGTAGCAATACTCCCTATTCTTCGGGCTGCGTTGACGGCGACTGAACGCAGGGTCGAGTGAGGGCTGTAGCAATACTCCCTATTCTTCGGGCTGCGTTGACGGCGACTGACGTATTCATCGGGCCGCCGCTGTGCCAAAGCCGCCGCCACCCTATTCGCCGCTCGCCTATTCATCGGGCCGCCGCTGTGCCAAAGCCGCCGCCACCCTATTCGTCGCTCGCCTATTCATCGGGGCGCCGCTGTGCCAAGCTGCCGCCACTACTACTCGCCGCTGACGTATTCATCGGGCCGCCGCTGTGCCAAAGCCGCCGCCACCCTATTCGCCGCTCGCCTATTCATCGGGCCGCCGCTGTGCCAAAGCCGCCGCCACCCTATTCGTCGCTCGCCTATTCATCGGGCCGCCGCTGTGCCAAGCTGCCGCCACCACTACTCGCCGCTGACGTATTCATCGGGCCGCCGCTGTGCCAAAGCCGCCGCCACCCTATTCGCCGCTCGCCTATTCATCGGGCCGCCGCTGTGCCAAAGCCGCCGCCACCCTATTCGTCGCTCGCCTATTCATCGGGCCGCCGCTGTGCCAAGCTGCCGCCACTACTATTCGTCGCTCGCCTATTCATCGGGCCGCCGCTGTGCCAAGCTGCCGCCACTCTATTCGTCGCTCGCCTATTCATCGGGCCGCCGCTGTGCCAAGCTGCCACCACTGCTACCCGTTTATTAACATTTCGACTGAACTTTGTGATTTAGTGTTCTTCGTAAAAAGTTCTGAACGTGATTTTATTGTGTTTAGTGTAGTGTTTAGTGTTATTTAAGGAAATAAATTTATAACGTTTTAAGAAAATATTTTTGCTTCGCTCTCTCTCTCTCTTTATGCCCTAACAAATAAATTTTTGTGACGACTCTGGCCCCCGCTGAACCTACCCCAGCTTCAAAGTGAAAACACGTCGTCACAATGGCGCCCGAGCAGGGACTATAAAAGAGAGAAAGAATAAATAAATGAGTGAACAATAATTAGACAAATACAGATGAAAACCCAGTGAAAAAAAAAAAAACAGTTAAAAAAAAAAACTGAAACAAGTAAAAATAATAATAAAAAAAAAAAAAAAAAAAAAAAAAAATGTCAAACGAAAAGACAATGTTGAAGGTCTCCTGGGCCTATATGCTAAAGCAAGAAGACTTGGTAACATATCTTACTGAATTCAATCTTGATCCAGTTGGAAAAGTGGACGATCTCCGAAAAAGATGGGCTAAATTTCTCCACAACGACCATGAAGCCGATGTATACAGACGGCTTATAGAGTTGCAGAACAAACATGAAAGTACCAGTCCGACCAAATCGCCGACATTGCGAGCCGTCACAAAACAACCCCTTATAACCGTAACACCGTGTGGAGCAGAAGCAATAGTATTATCCCCAATAAAAACAGAGTACGCCCTTCCCCACATTTCCGCGGAAAGGTCACATGGAGAGTCAAGCACAGGGGTAACAAACGATCAAAAAGTACAGAAGATGTCGCCAACAAACCCCGAATATGGATTTCAAAAAGATTCTCCGCCCAAGCCATCCAATAATTCGTCGTTACTCGTAATTCTCGACCAAATCCGAAAATGGAATATTACTTTTGAAAATGGAATGGACCCTATTGGATTCGTAGAACGTGTAGAAGAAATGGCTGAAATGTACATCGTGGAATTGAATCAAATAATTAAAGTAATGCCAGAGTTGTTACGAGGTAAAGCTTTAATCTGGCTAAGGAACAACAACCGACACTGGACTACCTGGAACGAATTTAAGAGTGATTTTCTGAAATTCTTTTTGCCACCGAGATACTTTGAGAAATTGGAGGATGAAATTAGGAGAAGGATACAGCGTAATAAGGAGCCGTTTAAGGAATATGTACTCTCTATACAGCATCTTATGCAGCACACCAATATGACCGAAGAACAAAAATTGGAACGAATTTTTAGAAACGCGCATTCGGATTATCAATGGTACATTCGCCGTAAAGACTTTACCACACTTTCGGAATTGATCTCCTTGGCAGACGAACTCGAAAGCATACCAAATAATTCTCGGTCAGAACAGCCTCGAAATCAACAAAACTATAATCGACGTGCGGACAACTCTAGAAATAACCTGTATTGCACCAATCAAGGTGACCAAGTGCTAAACGAAAGCTCATCCAATCCAGAAACGCAGCAGGATGAACCCCCGGCAAAGAAGAGTAACCAGAATATTACATCATTGCAATGTGAAGAATATCGCCTTACTGCAACTGTCTTAATAGAGGGGAAAGCTATTAAAGCAACTGTCGACACTGGTGCCACTAGCTGTTTTATAAAAAGAGAATTTGCGGAAAAAATCAAGAAAAGGTTTACTTATTCACGGCATGAGGCAAATGTTATCCTCGCAGACGGCACCACGGTGAACATCACAAGATCAACAGTGTTACCTGTTACATTTGGAAACCAAAGCTCAGATGTTACATTTCTCATCATGCCGCAATTCAAGGAAAACATCATATTGGGATTGGAATTTCTAAAACAGTTCCACACGACCATTCACTGCGCCGGTATAAGTGTCAAATTAAGTAAGCCAACCACATCAACGGAGCATTGTACCGTGGCTATAGGAGAGGAAACCCCATCAAAAGAGGTAATAGATACAATGACAGCTACGAATAATGTATCCCCCAGACCTAAATTCTTAAACGATGAATTGAGTAAAACGCAATGTGAGATCGTTGAAAATTTTCTGGCACAGGAACTCCCTAAGTTCCAACAATTAAATGGCCTATCGTCAATAGCTGAACATAAGATTGTAATGACCGACGATCGACCCATTAAATTAAGATATGCTCCGCGAAATCCTGCAATGCAAGCCGTGATTAATGCCGAAGTGAGAAAGCTCGAAGAACGAGGATGTATAGAGCCGTCTACAAGCCCATACTGTTTCCCCATCACATTAGTCAGAAAGAAAAATGGGAATTGGAGAACTTGTATGGATTTTCGCCAATTGAATAAACGTTCTGTTCCAGATGCCTACCCTTTACCCCGCATCGACACAATACTGAATCGACTACGGGATGCCAAATACGTGAGTAGCCTGGACCTTAAAGACGGATATTGGCAAATACCTATGGCGAAGGAGAGCAGAAAATACACGGCCTTTGCGGTAGCTGGTAAAGGTCTATATCAGTGGAAAGTGATGCCTTTCGGTTTGCATTCAGCACCGGCAACCTTCCAACGGGCATTAGATAGTGTGATTGGGCCTGAAATGGACCCCCACGCTTTTGCATACCTTGACGATATCATCGTCATTGGAAAAACGTTTGAGGAACACTTGCGGAACTTGAGAGAAGTGTTCAGAAGATTGCGATCAGCTAACCTGAGAATAAACATTGAGAAATGCGAATTTTTCAGAAAAGAAACGAAGTATTTAGGCCATGTTGTGAGTAGCGAGGGAATAAAGACGGATCCAGATAAAGTTGCCGCAATAGTGGAAATGAAACCTCCAACATCGGTAAAGGAGGTACGAAGATTTCTTGGAGTAGCATCTTGGTACCGAAGATTTGTCCCACAGTTTGCAACAATTTCACAACCATTGACTAGTCTTCTTAAAAAGGGAAAACATTGGAAATGGGGTCCCGAACAACAAGAAGCATTCTCAGACCTAAAAGCAAAGTTAACTGAAGCCCCCGTTCTGGCTTGTCCGGATTTCACAAAGACGTTCATATTGCAAACTGATGCCAGCAACTATGGCCTTGGAGCAGTTCTAACACAGGAGTTAGATAACGTGGAACGTGTCATAGCCTACGCCAGCAGACATTTAAAACAGGCTGAAAAGAACTACTCAGCGACTGAAAAGGAATGTCTAGCCATACTGTGGGGCATTAGACACATGAGACCCTACTTAGAGGGTTACCAGTTTATAGTTATTACCGATCATTTGGCCCTAAAATGGTTAAATTCTATTGAAAGCCCTACAGGTCGACTCGCACGTTGGGCTCTCGAGCTACAGCAATATAATTTTTTGATCAGATACCGTAGAGGAAAACAGAACGTTGTGGCGGATGCGCTTTCGAGAACACCTTTGGAAACGTTAGACCTAGCCACAGTAAAATATGACACCAGTCCGTGCCCATGGCTAGAAAAGTTGAAGGAAACCATAACCAAGAATCCGAAGAAGTATCCAGACTATACAATCATTGAGGGAAATGTTTATCGACATTTTCCCAAGCAAATAAACGATGAAGATTGCACACCATGGAAGCTGTGTGTGCCCACCGGATCAAGGATTCAGGTCCTTAGAGAAAATCATGACAGTGTCACCGGAGGTCATTTGGGAGTGCGAAAGACTAGCAACAAGGTGGCGAACCGATATTTTTGGCCTGGTATGTTCCAGGACATCAAACGTTATGTCCAGCAGTGCGAATGTTGCCAAAAATATAAAGTCAGCCAACAGAAACCAGCAGGGGAAATGTTGATAAGAATCCCGGAGGAACCATGGGCCACTATTTGTGCGGACTTCGTAGGACCCCTACCGCGATCTAAGCACGGTAACTCAATGCTACTCGTTATTATGGATAGATTCTCAAAATGGACGGAGTTGGTTCCATTGCGGAAGGCTACGACAGAGGGATTAATAAAGGCATGCAGAGAAAGAATTATTTCTAGATATGGGGTTCCAAAAATATTGATAACCGATAACGGAACCCAATTCACTAGCAACCAATTCGAAAAATTCCTAGCAGAAATGGGTATAAAGCATCAACTTACGGCTCCTTACACCCCGCAAGAGAACCCTACTGAAAGGACAAATCGGACAGTGAAAACAATGATAGCACAAGTTTCGAAACAACATAATACATGGGACGATATGCTGCCCGAAATAATGTTAGCCATAAACACTAGTGCATCAGAATCCACTGGATATTCGCCGGCATACCTGACACAAGGAAGAGAACCGCGACTGCCCCAGGCATTATATGATCAGCTCACAACAGGAACTGGTGCTAGAATAGTCTTACCAGAAGACCGTGCCCAGGAGTTGAAAGAAATATTTAAGATAGTGCGTCGAAACTTGGCAAAAGCATCTCAAAACCAGCGGAGACAGTACAACCTTAGACGACGAGTTTGGAAACCAAAGATTGGGGAGCAAGTTCTAGTTCGTCTACATCCTCAGTCGAAGGCCGTCGAAAATTTCGCCGCCAAACTAGCGCCCAAATACGGAGGGCCGTTTGTCGTACAAAAATTCCAATCTCCAGTAATCGTTGTAGTCCGAGGAAAAGACAACATCACCCGCGTCGCGCACTTAAGTGAAATTAAGCCTTTTTATGAAGAACAAAATTAAATTGTAGACATAGAAGTAGAATGTTGATTGTAGTTCCACTTACGTTTATGTGATGCCATTTCATTATAATTTCTTATTTTATTTTTAGACATTAAATTGACAATACCCAAACTAATCAGTGTCCTAATATAAGCCCATACTTCAAAGACCATCGCAATTCTCAAAATTTCAACATCACGATGGAGCAAGATAGCCCCAACACGAAAAAATTCAAACGGGCGAAGGAGAAATTTCGAGCTCATCTGGAACAAGTCGAGGCTCAAAGGCGAAGGACAATATTTTTAGACGAAGGTCCTAGTACCAGCCGAAAGAGGAGAACAAATCAATACCGTAAGCCCAATCCAAGAAAGGGTAGCAGTCAATCCTCATCGCCCCAGCACCAAATATTTTACCGAATGTGCAGCACAACCCCGAATGACGTTCCACAGCAAAAGTGTAACACGACCGAAAACAACAGCGACGATATCGATGAAACTGACTCTTTGAACGAGGAAACCCAGCCTAGTAGTGACGTCCCGCGTACACCAACCTACGCCCCGTGTTTTGGTTCGCCAAATAGCTTTAAGCCGGCTTCCGATGTGCTCTCAACACCCACTTCAAGGTGCTCAGAAATGCCTGCTACACCGGGTAAAGAATGGTGTCGTGACTCAGATGACGCATCAACTCTTCCTCGGCCCAATATGGAGGAGTCGGATGAATCTCAATCAAATTTCGAAATGGATGAAGAATGTCGGCGTATGTTTTACGGTTACTTAGAAACCTCAGTGACTCGGCGAGCACAGTCACCCTTATCCTCGAATAATTCCTCGCTGGATGAGTCGGATAACGAAGATCAACGTTCCTCGTCTCCGCCAAAAAGGTATGGTCTGGGATTTGTCCGTCAGAAAGATAGCCAATACAAATATCTCGGATTTCGCTGTTATGAGAGAACAGTTACTGTGCAGCTTTTGGTCCCCGACTCCGGGGAAAATCCAATATATGAAATAACCAACCCACCGCCGGATAATCATCGTACGCCCTCACCCACACCCGCGATAGGGGAAGAGATCAACACCGAAGATATCCATTCAATATCCAACACCTCACACAAACATGAGGAGGTTCCTACTTCATCCTCACATGCTTTCGCACATTTAGAAGAAGACTCCAGATCGACCGCAAGTAGTTTTGTGACAGTTCCGAAGATCCTAGTTTTGAGTGGTGGACCCAATGGCAGACGCTGGTTGGTGTTCCTCCATCATCACCGCTATATAACATAACCGAACAAGCAAATCTGTTGCATAGTGATGACGTACAAATTCCATCGCAATCCAATGCTGCCGTCATATCGGACGATCACAGGTCCCCCAACGTGAAGGAAGATAAATCATTACCAGGAACGCCGGGACACGTTGTCGAACTGTCATCACCATCGATATCTTCCCGATCGTCATCCTCATCCTCATCAGCCTCGTCGTCTTTATCGTCATCCTCATCCTCATCAGCCTCGTCGTCTTCATCATCATCCACAAGCCAAACGATGACACCTCATCAGCCAACATTGTGTAGCAGTCAACCTTCCATCGATGAAGTGTTTATACCCAGTAAGGAGAATAATAGCACACCAAGTACAATCAAATTGCCAGTCACTGAAATCCCAACTGAGTCAACGCCATCGTCCTCGACAGACAATCCCGTGAACGATAACACATTTCTCGAACTGCCAAATTATCCCGAAAACCTACAAATCCGTATCGAGAAGTTTAAAAACAATTGGAAAAAGGGACACAAACTGAAGCGAATTGTTAAACAAGATGGCAAGCAGTACCGCATAATAATATCAGCAGACGGGGTAGTGAAGGTATCTCTCCGAACTTCTGCAATTGGTCTCTAACATACCTTCCTATTCGACCGAGATATAGTCGAACCAAAGTGCCCATGTCGGAGAAATAAAAGGTTACATAACACCCTAGGGCTTCCTGGCTATTGAAACCCAATAGCAATAGAGAAAGCAAATCAAGGAATCAAAATCAGAGGGAGGAAGAGATGCCATGTAACGCCCAAAAGTCATGCTTTCGTTTTTGGGGTACATTATTATTTTAAATACCATTTTTACGTACTTATGTTATATACATCAACTATGAATTATATTTTTTTTGTTAAGTTATGAATTAAACTAACAGCTACTCAGGGTCATGTAATTTAAATGTATTTGAATATTAACGGTCACACAGGTCCCCTAGTAGAAAGAAGTATACTTAAAATACAACATTGGAACCCCTGGTGGCAAATGGCGGAACTACGCAAAACTGTCAGATTGGGATCAGCTGCTGTCATGAGAAAACAACAATCGTTGTCCAGCCAAAAAGGTATAAAAGGAGACGCATTTCACACAATCGGGATCAGTCTTCTGTTGATGGCTGGTAAGTCAAGTGTGATTGGGAGGAAGAAAAGGCGCGCAACCTCGGTTGAATTGAGTCTTAGTAAGCCAAACAATAAGCCTTGACTATTTGTGGTGACGGGACTGGACTGAACGCAGGGTCAAGTGAGGGTTGTAGCAATACTCCCTATTCTTCGGGCTGCGTTGACGGCGACTGAACGCAGGGTCAAGTGAGGGTTGTAGCAATACTCCCTATTCTTCGGGCTGCGTTGACGGCGACTGAACGCAGGGTCAAGTGAGGGTTGTAGCAATACTCCCTATTCTTCGGGCTGCGTTGACGGCGACTGAACGCAGGGTCAAGTGAGGGTTGTAGCAATACTCCCTATTCTTCGGGCTGCGTTGACGGCGACTGAACGCAGGGTCAAGTGAGGGTTGTAGCAATACTCCCTATTCTTCGGGCTGCGTTGACGGCGACTGAACGCAGGGTCAAGTGAGGGTTGTAGCAATACTCCCTATCCTTCGGGCTGCGTTGACGGCGACTGAACGCAGGGTCAAGTGAGGGTTGTAGCAATACTCCCTATTCTTCGGGCTGCGTTGACGGCGACTGAACGCAGGGTCAAGTGAGGGTTGTAGCAATACTCCCTATTCTTCGGGCTGCGTTGACGGCGACTGAACGCAGGGTCAAGTGAGGGTTGTAGCAATACTCCCTATTCTTCGGGCTGCGTTGACGGCGACTGAACGCAGGGTCAAGTGAGGGTTGTAGCAATACTCCCTATTCTTCGGGCTGCGTTGACGGCGACTGAACGCAGGGTCAAGTGAGGGTTGTAGCAATACTCCCTATTCTTCGGGCTGCGTTGACGGCGACTGAACGCAGGGTCAAGTGAGGGTTGTAGCAATACTCCCTATTCTTCGGGCTGCGTTGACGGCGACTGAACGCAGGGTCGAGTGAGGGCTGTAGCAATACTCCCTATTCTTCGGGCTGCGTTGACGGCGACTGACGTATTCATCGGGCCGCCGCTGTGCCAAAGCCGCCGCCACCCTATTCGCCGCTCGCCTATTCATCGGGCCGCCGCTGTGCCAAAGCCGCCGCCACCCTATTCGTCGCTCGCCTATTCATCGGGGCGCCGCTGTGCCAAGCTGCCGCCACTACTACTCGCCGCTGACGTATTCATCGGGCCGCCGCTGTGCCAAAGCCGCCGCCACCCTATTCGCCGCTCGCCTATTCATCGGGCCGCCGCTGTGCCAAAGCCGCCGCCACCCTATTCGTCGCTCGCCTATTCATCGGGCCGCCGCTGTGCCAAGCTGCCGCCACCACTACTCGCCGCTGACGTATTCATCGGGCCGCCGCTGTGCCAAAGCCGCCGCCACCCTATTCGCCGCTCGCCTATTCATCGGGCCGCCGCTGTGCCAAAGCCGCCGCCACCCTATTCGTCGCTCGCCTATTCATCGGGCCGCCGCTGTGCCAAGCTGCCGCCACTACTATTCGTCGCTCGCCTATTCATCGGGCCGCCGCTGTGCCAAGCTGCCGCCGCTACTACTCGCCGCTGACGTATTCATCGGGCCGCCGCTGTGCCAAAGCCGCCGCCACCCTATTCGCCGCTCGCCTATTCATCGGGCCGCCGCTGTGCCAAAGCCGCCGCCACCCTATTCGTCGCTCGCCTATTCATCGGGCCGCCGCTGTGCCAAGCTGCCGCCACTACTATTCGTCGCTCGCCTATTCATCGGGCCGCCGCTGTGCCAAGCTGCCGCCACTCTATTCGTCGCTCGCCTATTCATCGGGCCGCCGCTGTGCCAAGCTGCCACCACTGCTACCCGTTTATTAACATTTCGACTGAACTTTGTGATTTAGTGTTCTTCGTAAAAAGTTCTGAACGTGATTTTATTGTGTTTAGTGTAGTGTTTAGTGTTATTTAAGGAAATAAATTTATAACGTTTTAAGAAAATATTTTTGCTTCGCTCTCTCTCTCTCTTTATGCCCTAACAAATAAATTTTTGTGACGACTCTGGCCCCCGCTGAACCTACCCCAGCTTCAAAGTGAAAACACGTCGTCACATAGGTATATTATTAACCGATTTTTTCAAGTTTCGCATTTGAATGTTGTAATGGCTTATGAAAAAATTTGCCTATGCAGGTCCATGTCGTCGTATAGCCCCTAATATAACGGCTACATTCGGTATTTTTAAGATTTTAACAGAATTGTTAAAGGATTTTTTTTTATACCCTACACCACAAGGTGGTCAGGGTATTATGTCTTTGTGCATTTGTTTGTAACAGGCAAAAGGAAACGAGATAGACCCTTAATTCTTTTTGATGATCTGCATAGAATCACATTCTGAGTCGATTTATACATGTCTGTCCGACCGTCCTCCTGTCTATGTATTTTTGTGAACAAAGTACAGTTCGCATTTATTACCCGATCCAGATGAAATTTTGCACAAATCATTTGTTTGGCCCAAGGACGAACTCTATTGAAATTGGAGATAATCGGTCAAAATTTAGATATAGCTCCCATATATATCTTCGTCCGATTTGTCTTTTATTGTGCACTAAACGTGTAATATCACCCCGAATAGTATGAACTTTTGCACATACAACCAAATTAGGCCTAAAAATAAGTATGCTAAAATTGATCGAAATCGGTTCAGATATAGCTATAGCTCCCATATATATTGTCCATCCGATTTGTTTATTTTTGTCCTCCGCAGCCGTAATATACACTATGTACCAACAATATTTGGGGAAAAATATCAAATACAGCTCAGAAATACATTTGCTAAATTTTATCGAGATCGGTTCGGATTTGGATATAGCTCCCATATATAACTTCGTCCGATTTACATTTTATTGTGCACCAAACGTCTAATATTTGTCCAAATGGGATGGAATTTGGCACTTACGACCGAATTGAGTCTAGAAGCTAGTATGTCAAATTTGTTGAAGATCGGTTCAGATATAGCTATAGCTCCCACATATATTGTTCTTCCGATTTGTTATATTTGTTACCCACAGCCGTAATATGCACTCTGTAACAACGATATTCTGGGAAATATATCAAACACAGCTCAGAAATAGCCTTGCCAAATTTTATCGAAATTGGTTCCGATTTGGATATAGCTCCCACATATAACTTCGTCCGATTTACCTTTTATTGTGCACCAAACGTCTAATATTTGTCCAAATGGAATGGAATTTGGCACTTACGACTGAATTGAATCTAGAAGCTAGTATGTCAAATTTGGTGAAGATCGGTTCAGATTTAGCCATAGCTTCCACATATATTGTTCATCCGATTTGTTATATTTGTTACCCACAGCCGTAATATGCTCTCTGTAACAACAATATTTGGGGAAATATATCAAATATAGCTCAGAAAGATATTTGATAAATTTTTTCGAGATCGGTTCGGATTTCGATATAGCTCCCATATATAACTTCGTCCTATTTACATTTTATTGTGCATCAAACGTCTAATATTTTTTCAAATGAGATGGAATTTGGCATTTTATGAGCGAATTGAGTCTAGAAGCTTGTATGTCAAATTTGGTAAAGACCGGTTCAGATTTAGCTATAGCTTCCACATGTATTGTTCTTCCGATTTGTTATATTTGTTACCCATAGCCGTAATATGCGCTCCGTAACAACGATATTCAGGGAAATATATCAAATATAGCTCAGAAATACTTTTGCTAACTTTTGTTGAGATCGGTTCAGATTTGGATATACCTCCCATATATAACTTCGTCCGATTTACCTTTTATTGTGCACCAAACGTCTAATATCAGCCCGAATTGTATGGAATTTTGCATATACACCCAAATTAGGCCTGAAAATAAGTATGCCAAAATTGATCGAAATCGGTTCAGATATAGCTATAGCTCCCATATATATTGTTCATCCGATTTGTTATTGTTGTCCTCCGCAGCCGTAATATGCACTCTGTAACAACAATATTTGGGGAAAAATATCAAATACAGCTCAGAAATACTTTTGCTAAATTTTATCGAGATCGGTTCAGATTTGGATATAGCTCCCATATATAACTTCGTCCGATTTACCTTTTATTGTGCACTAAACGTCTAATTTTTATCCAAATGGAATGGAATTTGGCACTTATGAGCGAATTAAGTCTAGAAGCTAGTATGTCAAATTTGGTGAAGATCGGTTCAGATATAGCTATAGCTCCCACATATACTGTTCTTCCGATTTGTTATATTTGTTACCCACAGCCGTAATATGCACTCCGTAACAACGTTATTCAGGGAAATATATCAAATATAGCTCAGAAATATCTTTGCCAAATTTTATCAAGATCGGCTCAGATTTGGATATAGCTCCCATATATAAATTCGTCCGATTTTCCTTTCATTGTGCACTAAAAGTAATTTTTATCCAAATGGAATGGAATTTGGCACTTACGACCAAATTGAGTCTAGAAGTTAGTATGTCAAATTTGGTGAAGATCGGTTCAGATATAGCCATAGCTTCCATATATATTGTTCATCCGATTTGTTATATTTGTTACCCACAGCCGTAATATGCACTCCGTAACAACGTTATTCAGGGAAACATATCAAATACAGCTCAGAAATATCTTTGCCAAATTTTATCGAGATCGGTTTAGATTTGGATATAGCTCCCATATGTAACTTCGTCCGATTTACCTTTTATTGTGCACCAAACGTCTTATATTTGCCCAAATGGAATGAAATTTGGCACTTACGACCGAATTGAGTCTAGAAGCTAGTATGTCAAATTTGGTGAAGATCGGTTCAGATATAGCTATAGCTTCCACATATACTGTTCTTCCGATTTGTTATATTTGTTACCCATAGCCGTAATATGCACTTCGTAACAACGTTATTCAGGGAAATATATCAAATACAGCTCAGAAATAGCCTTGCCAAATTTTATCGAAATCGGTTCCGATTTGGATATAGCTCCCATACATATCATCAAATTAATTGTGCACCAAATGGGCAATACAATTCCGAATTTAAAAGATACAAATGCTTCGGCATATTTAGTCTTTTAAACTTTAAATTATAATTATAATCATGGCGTGTATGACTGAATTCTCCCATAAAAAAACTTTTAATTGTTAAGCGGAGCTCCACTAAATTAGCAAAGTGGTGTAGGGTATCATAAATTCGGCCCGGCCGAACTTACAGCTTTTTTTCGTGTTATATATTAATCTTATGAAATTTGTGTGTACCTACTTGTAATAGATAAATTGTATGGCATTTTGTATCTTTGCCTTGGTCTCGGAACGGCTCATGGCCAATGATAGATTTCCAACGGTGCTGGGTAAATGTAGCCATCGTACGGAATATAAATTTATGATATTATTATTATTATTATTATTACTATTTTTATTGACATTTTGCGAACTGGAGCTTGAACGATATTGAAGATGATGATGATGCTCTGATGGGGTAACATTGCGGAACTCAATACTTAAATTACCCCGGGCATCTTCAATTAAACAATGCATCGCAAGATATGAAAATATCATAGATGTGAGAGAAGTTTTGACCATCTTTGTTTGATTTTTTCGGCTGTGATGTGTTATCCGTTTTAAAACTAAGTCAATAGAAATTTTAGAATAAACTAAGTTTGGTGTTTTGGGTGAAAGTGGTAAAAATGCTGGCTGGCTGGTTGGTGGTGGTGAAAATTTTCAAAAACGAAATACCTAAAATCTCTTCCAAAAATTAGCTTAGGGATTTTTCTTAAACCAAAAAAAAAAAAATAAATAAATAAAACCATAAAAAACCCAAAGGTGATGAAAAGAGAGCTGCTAAATGTTAATTTTTGAAAGCGGGGGGAAGGGGAAAGAAGAAGAAGAAATATATTTTAACCTCGAGTCAAACGTTGTTATTCACAAAAAACCAGCAAAAGTCGCCGTCACACATAGTTATGCTATAATTTTTTTTGTTTTTGGTTTTGTTTTTGTTTCTAACGTTGATGGAAGATTGTCATTGAAGAAGAGTTAGAGAAGAGTTAGAAAAATAAAAAAAACAGAGCTTGGCACGTTAGCTCTGTTTTTTTTATTTTTTTTTTGTAAAAACAACAAAATATTCCACACACACTCACAAATTTCATGTGCGCAAGCGCAACACATTTAAAATTTTTAATCGAGCGGTGAATGCCAGACGAAATGGGGAGGGGGGGCTGGCTGAGGGGGCGGTTAGCAAGCATATAGCACAATACTCATCGTTGATAAGATTGTCGTAGCTTATGAGTAATCAAAACAAAAAACAAGCGAAGAAGAAAAAACACTTCCAAAGAAAAACAAAACCCCCCGAACAACAACAACAACAACGATGGCCATAGCGGCGAAGATTTGAAAACTATGTTGTGTACGGTTTTATGCTAAAGTGAAGGTGGTCAAAACTTGTTTTTGTTTCTTCATCATTTGGTAGAAAAAAAGAAAAAGCTTTTTTTGGGAAGTAAAATTTAGCAACACTTCAATGCTTTGTTGTACACATATACAGGGTGAGCTGAAAAAAAAAAACTGCAAACAACTTCAGACTGCTGGCATTTCTAAGACACTCTTCCGCACAGCTCTTCGAAATTATTCCAGCGATAGCTCATTATATTATTTACCAGGGTATCAAAAGCTATTTGGTGAGAATTTTTCAGAAAAAAAAGAGTAAAGAAAGGCTTAAAGTCGGGCGGGGCCGACTTTATGATACCCTACCCTATCTGAACCGATCTTGATAAAATTTGGCAAAGATATTTCTCAACTGTATTTGATATATTTCCCCAAATATTGTTGTTACACAATGCATATTACGGCTGCGGAGGACAAAAATAACAAATCGGATGAACAATATATATGGGAGCTATAGCTATATCTGAACTGATTTCGATCAAATTTGGCATACTAGCTTCTAGACTCATTTTGGTCGTAGATGCCAAATTTCATTCCATTTGGGTAAATATTAGACGTTTGGTGCACAATAAAAGGTAAATCGGACGAAGTTATATATATGGGAGAGATATATCTAAATCCGAACCGATCTTGATAAAATTTGGCAAAGATATTTCTGAACGGTATTTGATATATTTCCCCAAATATTCTTGTTACACAATGCATATTACGGCTGCGGAGGACAAAAATAACAAATCGGATGAACAATATATATAGGAGCTATAGCTATATCTAAACCGATCTTCACCAAATTTGGCATACTAGCTTCTATATTCAATTAGGTCGCATGTGCCGAATTCCATCCCATTTGGGCAAATATTAGACGTTTGGTGCACAATAAAAGGTAAATCGGACGAAGTTTTATGTGGGAGATATATCCAAATCCGAATCGATCTTGATAAAATTTGGCAAAGATATTTCTGAGCTGCATTTGATATATTTCCCCAAATATTGTTGTTACAGAGTCCATATTACGGCTGTGGGTAAAAAATATAACAAATCGGATGAACAGTATATATGGGAGATATAGCTATATCTGAACCGATCTTCACCAAATTTGACATACTAGCTTCTAGACTCAATTCGTTCATAAGTGCCAAATTTCATTCCATTTGGGCAAATATTAGACGTTTGGTGCACAATAAAAGGTAAATCGGACGAAGTTATATATGGACGCAATGTCCAAATCTGAACCGATCTTGATAAAATTTGGCAAAGATATTTCTGAGCGGTATTTGATATATTTCCCCAAATATTGTTGTTTCAGAGTGCATATTACGGCTGCGGAGGACAAAAATAACAAATCGGACGAACAATATATATGGGAGCTATAGCTATATCTGAACCGATCTTCAACAAATTTGACATACTAACTTCTAGACTCAATTCGCTCATAAGTGCCGAATTTCATTCCATTTGGACAAATATTAGACGTTTGGTGCACAATAAAAGGTAAATCGGACGAAGTTATATATGGGAGCAATGTCCAAATCTGAACCGATCTTGATAAAATTTGGCAAAGATATTTCTGAGCTGTATTTCATATATTTCCCTGAATATCGTTGTTACGGAGGGCATAATAAGGTTGCAGAGGACTAAAATAACAAATCGGATGAACAATATATGTGGGAGCTATGGCTATATATGAACCGATCTTTAACAAATTTGGCATACTAGCTTCTAGACTCAATTTGGTCGTAGATGCCAAATTTCATTCCATTTGGGTAAATATTAGACGTGTGGTGCACAATAAAAGGTAAATCGGACGAAGTTATATATGGGAGCTACATCCAAATCGGAATCGATCTCAGTAAAATTTGGCAAAGATATTTCTGAGCTGTATTTCATATATTTCCCTGAATATCGTTGTTACCCAGTGCATATTACGTCTGTGGTTAACAAATATAACAAATCGGATGAACAATATATATGGGAGCTATGGCTATATCTGAACCGATCCTCACCAAATTTGACATACTAACTTCTAGACTCAATTCGCTCATAAGTGCCAAATTCCATCACATTTGAACAAATATTAGACGTTTGGTGCACAATAAAAGGTAAATCGGACGAAGTTATATATGGGAGATATATCCAAATCCGAAACGATCTTGATAAAATTTGGCAAGGCTATTTCTGAGCTGTATTTGATATATTTCCCTGAATATGGTTGTTACGGAGTGCATATTACGGCTGTGGGTAACAAATATAACAAATCGGAAGAACAGTATATATGGGAGCTATAGCTATATCTAAACCGATCTTCAACAAATTTGGCATACTAGCTTCTAGACTCAATTTGGTCGTAGATGACAAATTTCATTCCATTTGGGCAAATATTAGACGTTTGGTGCACAATAAAAGGTAAATCGGACGAAGTTATATATGGGAGCCATATCCAAATCTGAACCGATTTCGATAAAATTTGGCAAATATATTTCTGAGCTGTATTTCATATATTTCCCTGAATATCGTTGTTACGCAGTGCAAATTACGGCTGTGGCTAACAAATATAACAATTCGGATGAACAATATATATGGGAGCTATAGCTATATCTGAACCGATCTTCAACAAATTTGACATACTAGCTTCTAGACTCAATTCGCTCATAAGTGCCAAATTGCATTCCATTTGGGCAAATATTAGACGTTTGGTGCACAATAAAAGGTAAATCGGACGAAGTTATATATATATGGGAGATATATCCAAATCCAAAGCGATCTCGATAAAATTTTAACAAAGGTATTTCTGAGCTGTATTTTATATATTTCTCTGGATATCGTTGTTACGGAGTGCAAATTACGGCTGTGGGTAACAAATATAACAAATCGGATGAACAATATATATTGGAGCTATAGCTATATCCGAACCGATCTTCACCAAATTTGACATACTAGCTTCTCGACTCAATTCGCTCATAAGTGCCAAATTTCATTCCATTTGGGCAAATGTTAGACGTTTGGTGCACAATAAAAAGTAAATCGGACGATGTATATGTATATGGACGATATATGGGAGATATATCCAAATCCGAACCGATCTCGATAAAATTTTAACAAAGGTATTTCTGAACTGTATTTGATATATTTCCCCAAATATTGTTGTTACAGAGTGCATATTACGGCTGCGGAGGACTAAAATAACAAATCGGATGAACAATATATGTATGGGAGCTATAGCTATATCTGAACCGATTTCGATCAAATTTTGCATACTTATTTTCAGGCCTAATTTGGTTGTATGTGCAAAATTCCATACTATTCGGTCGGATATTACACATTTGGTGTACAATAAAAGGCAAATCGGATGAAGGCATATATGGGAGCTATATCTAAATTTTTACCGATTATCTCCAATTTCAATAGGGTTCGTCCTTGGGCCAAACAAATGGTTTGTGCAAAATTTCATCTGGATCGGGTAATAAATGCGAACTGTACTTTGTTTACAAAAATACAAGGACAGACGAACAGACGGACGGATGGACGGACGGACGGACATGCATAAAATCGACTCAGAATGTGATTCTATGCAGATCATCAAAAAGAACTATGAGTCTATCTCGTTTCCTTTTGCCTGTTACAAACAAATGCACAAAGACATAATACCCTGACCACCTTGTGGTGTACAGGGTAGGACCTTGAACATTCCAACAGGACTCGCATCTCAACACGCGCCACCCAAAATGGTTACAAAATGGGTTTCCCCGCTTCATTTCCAGCACACAATGGCCACCAAAATCTCCGGATACCAATCCGTTGGACTATTGTGTCTGGAGTATTTCGGAAAGCAAGGTTGGCACTAAAAAAATATCAAAGTGTCGATCACCTCAAGCAAGCGCTTCGCCGGGAATGGGCCAAAACACGGCAGAGCCACATTTGGGCAACGTGTGACGGTTTCATTGGCCGTTTGAATGCCATAATTCCTGCCAAAGGTGACCAATTCGAACAAATCTAAACTTATTCTGAAATTTGATGCTATTTCCGACTTTTCATTCAATTAAATTAAAAAAAAATAGAAAAAAAAGCTGTAAGTTCGGCCGGGCCGAACTTAGAAAACCCTCCGCAATTTGAAACGAATTTGTCAATTCTCAAAAACAATAAAATCCGTTAAAAATTCTGTTAAAATCTTAAATGTACCGAATGTAGCTGTTATATTAGGGTCTATACGACGACATGGACCTGCATAGGTAACATTTGTCATAAGCCATTACAATATTCAAATGCGAAACTTATGAAAAAATCGGTGAATAATGTAGCTAAAATCATCAAAGTTCCGAATATCGGAAGGTACCGTTATATGGGGGCTATACGAAGGCGTGGACCTGTACAGACAATTTTCTGCCATAGGCTATGACATCCATTACGAACTTCAAATACCAAATTTGAAACAATTCCGATGAATAATGTCGCTTAAATCACGAAAATACCGAATATGGGAAGGAGCCGTTATATGGGGGCTATATGAAGACGTAGACCTGTACAGACAATTTTTTGTCTTAGGCTGTAGTATCTATTACGAACTTCAAATTCCATATTTAAAACAATTCCGGTAAATAATGTCGCTAAAATCTTCAAAAAACCAAAAATGGAAGGTTTATATGGGGGCTATACGAAGTCGTGGACCAGCACGAATAATTTTCTGCCATAGGCTATGACATCTGTTAGGAACTTCAAATACAAAATTTGAAATAATTCCGATGAATAATGTCGCTAAAATCATCAAAATACCGTATATCGGGAGGTACCGTTACATGAGGGCAATACGAAGACGTGGACCAGCACAGACAATTTTCTGCCATAGGCTATGACATCCATTACTATTAATGTCGCTAAAATCATAAAAATACGGAATATCGAAAGGTGCGTTATATGGGGGCTCAACGAAGACGTGGACCTGCACAAACAATTTTCTGTCTTAGGCTGTAGTATCCATTACGAACTTTAAATACCAAATTTGAAATAATCCCGCTGAATAATGTCGCTAAAATCACCAAAATACCAAATATCGGGAGGTACCATTATATGGAGGCTATACCAAAACATAAAGTTACATGGCCCATTTTCAATACCAAAAGACCTGCAGACATAACATACATTTGGGTAAAATTTTATCAATCTACTTCAATTCGTTCGCAAGCTTGAGTGATTTCCATAGACGGACGGACATCGCTAAATCGACATAGAATTTTATGCTGATCAAGAATATCAATATTTTGTGGGGTCTAAAATGTATATTTCGAAATGACAAACTTAATATACCCTCCATACTATGGTGGAGGGTATGGAAATATGTAAAAAAAATATTTAAAAATTATGGCGTTTGACTTTGTTGCCGTATTTTTTTATCCCACCCTGTACATACAAAGATATACACACACACATGTATATATGTGGGGATGTGTGTGTGTATGTAAGTCTGTCTTTTGGTCTTTCCAACAGTCATTATGGCTGTTTGTTTGTATGTTTGTAATATGCACTATGATATTCAGTGTGAGTCTTTATTTCATAGACGCAATCTTCCACACACACACACATACATACATTTATTTATTTTTAAAATATTTTTTTTTATAAAAAGAAGGTAGGCTTTTAGCTAGTTTCATGATATTTGCCCTTCGAGCATAAAACCAGCAGCTACTGGCTTGAATACATATTTAGCTTTTTGTTTCCAAAAAAAAAAACAAAACAACATCAACAACAACAAAATATGGTTACTTTTTCAAGTCTTCTTTTTTTTATTTCAACGCAATGAAAAGTCTTAAAATTATTACAAAAAAGCGACACATTTTTTATGGATGTCTCTTTCTTTTTTTTTTCCTCTTCTCTATGTTGTAATGACAGCCACTTACAACCATGGATGCCATGCCGGATCCATGAGACACAAATTATCATGATTTGTGGCCTGTTGTAAAAGTAATGAAATTTTCTTCGATTCAATATTATCAAAATATGATATTGTGTTCAAGCGACTCAAGATTGCATTGACAGACTTATTGACCAAATGGATCATGTTTTCCGTGGCATTGGCATCAGCCGCCGTATCTTCCATGGTGTCCATGGGCTTATTGTCACGCATTCGTTTCTTATGAAATGCAATGATTTCATCGCGTAAAATGGTTCGCAAAATCGAACATAACTTATAGTTCGGATGTACAAAACACCGGGCTGTTGCAATAATCGCTGCCGACAGGGGCCCAGAGATGCCAATGTTGGTTAGGAATTCTGCAATATTGGGCGTCAAACGGAACGGCACAGGTCGGCTGTGATCCAACTCCTCCTTCTCGTCGTTTATATCGAATTTAAAATACGACACATTAATCAGTCCCGAATCTTGATGGATATAAATCATATCGGTATTTAGGCGGGTCAAATGCAGGGCATATTCACAGATAAAGGCCAAGGCCATTTGCAAAGTCATCTGAAAAGATAATAATACGATAATTAAATTAATGCAATTTGTAACTGAGTTCAGGTCCTGCCACCAAAAAAATGAGATAAAATGAGGCCAGGTCATACTTTTGGGAGAATTTTTTTTGGCGAAATTTTCCTGAAAATCAAAATCGACCAGTCTATGTCGTAGGAAAATGCAAATACAGGTAGTCGCATCGATATAGCTGCTGGGACAATGAATTGTCAAACCAATTTTGGAATTGAAATTTTTAAATGAAAAAATATTCAAATTTGTAAAAATTCTTTAAAAAGGCATATCATAACAACCTCCGATTGACGTCGGTTAGGAAAACTTACACAAATCGATTTATTTTTAAAGAAACATTTACACAATTTTGACATTTTAATAATCCCAAGCTTTGACACTTCTACCAGTATTCTTTTACCATGAAAATGCACAAGCCGTAAATCTAAAAGTTAGGTTATGTCATACTTTTGAGAGAATATTTGATGAAAATCAGATTTCCTGTCGAAGGAAAATGCGACAGAAGAACATCAACCCTATGGGTGTTTTCCAATATTTTCTTTTAATTTTATAACAGAGATAATGAAATAAAAATTGAAATTTGAGATTAGGTGTAAAAAGACAATAATAATAATAATAATAATAATAATAATAATAATAATAATAATAATAATAATAATAATAATAATAATAATAATAATAATAATAATAATAATAATAACAATAATAATAATAATAATAATAATAATAATAATAATAATAATAATAATAATAATAATAATAATAATAATAATGCCATAAAAAACTGAGGATAGGTCACACTATTGGGAGCACTTTTGTGAAAATCGGATTTACTGCATGTCTATGTCAAAAGAAAATTAATGCTAAAGAAGAACTTCAACCTTATGTGTGTTTTCAATTTTTATACCCTCCACCGTAGTATGGAGGGTATATTAAGTTTGTCATTCACATTTTAGACCCCACAAAGTATATATATTCTTGATCAGCATAAAATTCTATGTCGATTTAACACTGTCCGTCCGTCTATCCGTCTGTGGAAATCACTCTGAGGAAATCGCTCTTTTGGTATTGAAAATGGGTGATGTAGGTCCACGTTTTGGTATAGCCCCCATATAATGGTACCTCCCTTTTTTCGGTATTTTGGTGATTTAAGCGACATTATACACCGTAAATGTTTCAAATTTGGTATTTGATGTTCGTCATGGGTACTACAGCCTATGACAGAAAATTGTCTGTACAGGTCCACGTCTTCGTATAGCCCCCATATAACGGTACCCCCCGATATTAGGAATTGTTTCAAATTTGGCATTTGAAGTTCGTAATGGGTACTACAGCCTATGACAGAAAATTGTCTGTGCAGGTCCACCTCTTCGTATAGCCCCAATATAACGGTACCTCCCTATATTCGAAATTTTGATGATTTTAGCTACATTATTCACCGAATTTTTTATTCAAGTTTCGCATTTGAATATTGTAATGGTTTATGACAAAAGTTGCCCATGCAGGTCCATGCCGCCGTACAGATCCTAATATAACGGCTACATTCGGTATTTTTTAAGATTTTAACAGAATTTTTAATAGGATTTATTTTTTTTGAAAATTGCCAACATCGTTCCAAATGGTGGAGGGTATTTAAAGGTGGAGGGTATTTACAGCTTTTTTAGTTGTTTTAATTTGTATAAGAAATAATAAAATCAGAATTGAAATTTGAGGTTAGGTGCGAAAAGATAATAACAAATGGAAATATTAAATAAAGTTGAACGATAATTAAATTAAATGAAATAATTTTGCATCTCAGAGCGGTTCCTGTCAAATCAAAAACAGATAAAGTGAGGTAAGGTCATGTTTTTGAGAGAATTTATGTGAAAATCCGATTTACAGCCTGTCTATTCCGGCGGAAAATGAATGCGAAGAAGAACAGATAATGAAATGAAAGCTGAAATTTGAGGTTATGTTCGAGTTGATTCAGTTTGATAAACCTTAATGGACACCGGTACAGATTCTTGACCAGTAAAGCTCATCTATATAGACCCTCGTCTTAATGGACTCCCTGAAGTCCCCCTAATTCGTCCAAATGTCTCTATGTCTCTTGTTCCCCCATTATGACTCTCCTTCGCTTGCCCATAAGGACGACCATAAAGTCTTACTTTCACTCGCCTATAAAGGCTCCTTTCGCTTGATTATAAATACCCTTCTCAATATTTCTATAGTCTCCGTTGGGCTCTTCTATGATTAATACGTTTCAGATCTGTTCAGCTTGTCTATAAAGGCTCCTTGTCTTTCGTTTTCCTGTAAAGACTCTTTCGTCTATAAAATCTCCCTCTCGGCGGTCTAAAAAACTGAATTTCTCCCGTTTAAAAATGCTGCTATTTTGTCGTATATAAAGACTAACTTCAGCTAGGCTATAAAGACTCCCTTTCGCTTAAATGTAAGACTCTTTTCGGTTGACTAGAGAGACTCTTTTCATCTCGTCTTTAGTCTCCTTTGGGCTCTTCTCTAAAGACTATGTTCAGTTTGTCTATGAGGACTTCGTTTTTTTACCTTCTATAAAAACTCTGTCTGTCAGCACTTCTGTAAGGCTGTCTGTCTTACCTTTCCCTATAAATACTCTTTCGTCTATAACAAATCCCTCCCGCTCGTCTAAAAAACAGCCTTTCTCCCGTGTATAAATGTTGCCTTCCCCTGATATATAAAGAATCGCTAATATAAAAAGACTCTTTTTTGTCTTAACTATAAAGCCCCTCTTCAACTCGTAAATATTCTTCGTTCAGATCTTCTATAAACACTTCCCTCAGGCCATCCATCAACACTATCAAGTTTTCAGTTAGCCCTCCTATAAAAACTTCATTCAGCCCATCTCTACAGGATCTTTGTATTTCGTTTTCCAAAACAGGCTTTTTCGTTCGCTATCATTTCCTATGGAATCCTTTCCACATACCTATAAAGATTCCCTTTCGTTAGCCTCTAAAAACCAACTAAGACGCTCCATTATGCATGCCTACAAAGATTGCCTTTGGTACTCCTATCAAAATTTCCCTTAGCCCAAAATTTTTCTCTTTTGTTAGTCTATAAGGCGTTCGCTTTCCATTGTCTAAAAGCCTACCTTCAATACTTTATAAATTCTCGCCTTTGCCTTCATATTCCCTTGACTTACATTTCATCCTCTAAGAAAGACATAATTTCTCAAGAAAATAAATAACCCTGCGATGTTGATGTGTTCAACTTACCATTTTACGGAATTGCCAAAAATCTGTGGCCGAGACAAAGGTCTTGACGGCCCATTGTTTGAACAGCGTTTTGGGTACCATTTTCGTTTGTATCTCCTGGAAGATGTCCCTTAAAATTGCATGGGTTATTTGGCCACCCTGTGATTGCACTTCGGAGAGACGTTCATAATACTTCATAATGGGTAAATCATGTTCCACATCCATTTTGGCACAGGTGCTCTTGTAGATTTCATACAACGATATGCTGGCCGGATTGTCTTCGGCCAAACGCATTTGTGGCGATATGGGCACAACACGTGGCACTGTGATGTTAAGGAAACGTCGTGTTGTCTCTTTTTGTTTTTCCAAATAATAGTTAAGCATGCGCAACAACTGTAGGACTCTTTCCTCACGGCGGGCATCTCCCAAACCGGTATCAATGACAACCAGATATGGATAGATTTTACCATTTGTACCACGTATATGCAGACGACGTGCTGCTGTGTTATTCTTTTGGACAATCTCCACGCGTGGCATAAACCGGGAGATTCGTATGTGATAATGGGAGGAGGAGGGTATAAGGAATTCACCGGGCAACTCAACTTCGGCAGTCTTTTGACTGAAATTCGAGAGAAAGCGACACTTGTCTTCGATAAGAAATGAGGTGGGTAACTTTTTCACTTTGTTCTCCAATGCTTTGATCCAGGATTTCAGTTTGGTAATCAAATTGTGCAGCTTCATGGCATCCGGTTTGGAGAAATCAAAATCTCGTGTAAATTGTTCTTTCATCATTTGGAAGGCAGGATCTTGGAAGGTAACTTGAGCACGACGAGCCAAGGACTCAGAGGCGGCGGAATTCGAGGCCGAAGAGGCCACCGAACCGGGAATGTTTTCTATGCCAATGCCAAAGGTTGAACCCAATTTCTTGACAAAGTGTAACGTGTGCGGCGTAATGGTGGCCTCATTCACTGTGCTGCGTGTCTCAAAGGCAATGGCATAGCATTTGATGAGACCCTGCCTCAGTTGCCTTAACACCTCCTCCGTCCAACTTTCTCTAAACCAAACCATTTGATCGACAATACCCTCCAGGGAGCTTAAAATGGTTGGATGTATTTCCCGTTGAACGTGCATTACCTTGGAGCAACGCCACATGGGAGGTGTGGCTTTGATGGGATTAACTGAATTGGATCCCGTGGCTGCTGAGGTATTGGTGAATACCTGATTCATGTTATTTTCCAAGTTGGGCTGGAAAAAAGGGAGTATATTAAAATGGAGATTCCAATAGGATTGCAAACAGGGTTTAGCTTACATGATTATGCGGCCTACCAGAGGCCTGTTCTGCAGTCTTGTGTTTTTCACGCTGTTCTATTTTCAGGGTTAGATAGAGAGTACGTATGGGGAAATAAACCGCTTGGGGATATAAACGACCCACCTGCAAATAAAAATTGTCATTTCCTTTCCAGGATAGGATAAAGATATCTATTACTTACATGGCTCAACAGATTCAATATAACATTGCTTTCATATTGTACCAGACAACACAGAAGCTGTGGTATCCAGGGCAACCAGTACGATGGCGGCACACCCACAACATATTTCTCCAAAGTACTCATCAGTGTGTTGCTGGCATTGTCATAGGACAAGAACCACAGCACCTTGGCCAAATATTTTCGGGTTTTACTTTCGCTGGGATGACGACAGGCATGCAGATAACATGTCAAAGCACTGACACCCAACGAGATTTGTTTGTCTCGAAGGAATAGATGTTCCATAAAATCACCCCACATGGCCCAGGCCTTGGTGAGACCGTCATGAAGTTGTACCGCAGCACTGAAAGCCTTGGCGGCCTCATCGGTGCGACCAATCTTGGCCAAAAGTAAACCTTTTAGGGCATAAAATTCGGCATTCATTTCAGCTGTGAAATATTTCAAGTTGGTCGATTCAATAACTTCCAAGGCTTCGTTTAGATCATTGCGCCCCGCCAAGGAGGCTGTCTGAATGTAGCATTTGACTTGTTGGCGTATTTTCTGGAAGTAAAGGAGTACTTCGTTATTTAAAAGAATAAAAACCTCCCTTATATTGCCACCTACATACCTGAAAACAATCCACAATCGGCACCGACGGTATCGTATAGATCCTCGACAATGTCTCCTGACACACCCCCGTCAAATTGTGTTTCCTTGCTATCTTACCGAAATAGATAATGGCCTGGGCCGAGGCATGCACCCCCAACATGGTATTACCCTGATCGGGTTGCTGTTCCAAATGCTGGGTAATAATCTGATAATGATGTTGACGCCATGTAAAAATGTCCGACCAATGGGACAAATCATCTGCTATGACCGGTAGACGATTTCTCCATGTCTTTACAATGGCCTTCATGTCATGCAATGAGGTATTGCGCGATTGCAGCAATCCCTGATGGATTTGACTTGCCTCGTGTAGCTCGATTATTTGTTGAGCGGCCTGGAGATATTGCAAATGAATGTGCGACACAATGTGCGGCAGCCTACGCCATTCCCGTATACACAGACCCGAGGCAATTTCAACATATTTCTCAACATTGGACAACTGGCGATCGTCGGGATGCAGAATGGCCAAAAAGCCCCGATACAAATGGACTTTGTAACCATACTGCTTCGAATAGGCCTGTTCGATTTTCATTAGAGCCTTTTTCATTAGATTCCAATCGGGTACACGCCAGGCACTTTCCATGATAAGTATTTCGTGCTGCTCACGATTGGTTTGGGCGTAGTCCAGCAGTATATCCCATTGATTGAGTTCCTTGGCACAGCGTATCCAGTGATTTTCCCACAGGGCAATTTCACTATTCATGTGCGAATTACACTGGCCATTGGAGAGATCTTCTTTGAACTTTGACATCACCAAATCGTACGCCCCCTGGGCCTCCTCAAAGAAACCCATTTGTTCATAGGCAATGGCCAGATTTGTTTCAGCATATTGGGCATATTTCATCCAGAGACCGGCCCACAGATCTTCCTCATGCATGGCCGAATACATGAGCGACAGCGAATCATGAACCGAACTTTGATTGCCATTGTATTCATGTTGCTGATCACAATAGTCCATAAAGGATGTTTGATTGCTGGGATTAACCTTGGAGGCCATTTCTTCCAGCACCAAAGTCATGCGATGCCATAGATTGTGGGCCTTGCCCAAATACGTGCAGACATTGGGCGGTATATAAATCTTGGGATTACAGTGTGTGAGCCCCTCAACAAATGTGTTAATGGCACTGGGTGCACAATCCTTTTGTATGATATTTGTGCCCGAGGCCAGGAAGGGTATGACTTCTTTGATAATGGTTTGTTGCTGATCGGCATTGAATATGTTCCAAATCTGGGGGAAAATTGCCAACCACACCGATTCGGCTAGATTTGTGTCCATGTGACACAGCTGGGAGGTGGCCACCAGCAATTGATCGGTACGTATTTTCCGATTGATTTCCAAAAACTCTATTTGGCGATTGATCAATTTACATATTTTCATTTTCCTAGCCGGCAGCAGACGTTCCGTGTCCGGTTGATCATTTTGTGAATTGATATATTCCAAATTTACATCCACATCGAATTCCTCATCCTTATCATCGACACTCTGTGGCATATCCATGCAATCGGATTGTGACGAGGTATAGATGACAAATTGACTCTTCTCCTCATTATCGGCCATATTGATGATGGATGTGATGCTGGGAATCTTGTGCATATCGTTGGAATTCTGTATTGCTGTCATGGTATTGGCGGTCAAGACCAACAGCTCAATACATTGTTTTATCCAATAATGTGTGCCAATCGAATCCCATGCCTGCGAACAAATGATGTACAGCAGACGATCGTGCAAACGTCGGCGCATCGAGGCATCAATGATTTCAAAGAATTTTGCCCGTATCGTGGGATTTTGACTGCGCAGCCCCGTCAAGAATGCCGCCTCCAACTTCGCACTTAACTCTGTCTGTTTCAAATGTTCATCGCGATATATATAATTGATCATTTCCAAGAACTGTATGTGCAATTCACTTTCATCCGAAAACTTTTTCTCCACACACTGCATCAGCTTGACCAACAACACCGATTTCTCCCGAATCGAGGGTATTTGTACCACAATATTTTGATCCTTCACCCTCACCCAATCGTCGAGCATTTTTATGATACACTTTATGATCTTGGCATCCATGCTTTTCTCAATCAGACTCACAATAATGTTACCAATCAGCAGCTTTCTCACCTCCACACTCATGATGACAATGCGATTCTTAATCATGTCAAACGACAGTATCAACAATTCCAAGTGATTGCCCTCCACGGAGGGATTCATGGCCTGGGCGTTATTTTGCATGGCAATGTGTTCCTTGGTCAAACGATTTAGAACCCTTATAAATTGTACCATCAAACGATCGATATAGTCTGGGTTATTGACACAGCAAGCCTTGAGAATCATTAGCGTTCCCAGCAGAGAAGATGGATTCGATTGCGGACTCTTCTCGTAGAAATTCAAATTGTCCGCAATCATTTTACTAATCGCGCTATACAAAATATCCAGATCTTCATTTTTATGCTGAGCATCGGGTGGAAATATGGTCATCAGGCGGGTTATCAAGCCATGCATTAGGCGAACAATTTTCGTATTTTGATGTATGATACAGGCGGAGAGGCCCTTTTGTATGGGCCTTATGATGGCCAACAGTTGTTCCGGTTTCATAATCGTACTGAGGAATGTCAAAAAGTCCAGCGCTGTACAGATGTTGTTGATATTTGTGTGTGGCGATTCAATGGTGGTGAATATTTTATCCATCCAATTCAGTTTCAATTCAAATGGCTGGGGCCAAACATCCGGACGCATGGCTGTTTTCAATAGAATTATACATCTGCAAAAGAGAAAAGGAAGAAGAAAACAAGGGTGTTAGTAATGGGGTAGAGTAACACTCAGTAAAAAAATTTCAGTCGGTTCTGCCGACAGATGTGTACCCCCAGCCTTGAGGTTATGACTATACAAACTGTTCACCCTTTATGAGGCAGGTTCCGAAGCAGTTGGCCAATATTGAGCAATTCGTATCTGACCTAAGACCGATATAAACATTACAACGTGCCAGATTTGGCCTATATCGACTACTTCCTATTCTTTATATTAGATATGTGCAAATTTTATGCGATATCATAAGTTCCGATTAATTACGTATTCATATCAGATTTCTGGTTAAGAAAAATATTTAAATACAGCAATTTTTAAAGAAACGCAGAATTGATTCGCAAGTTATGACAAATATGACAAGTATTGGAAATTGTGAGCCGTTATGGGTGAGGTGTACCAGAAGAGGTTGGCAGATATATATCATCTTTACAACAGATCTTGCGTTAGAAAATATATTTGGATGTGTGAAATTTGAAGAGAGTTGGATCGCTTTCTTTGTGCGTTTTGTTTTTAAGAATCTTGAACCCTTTGTGGGGGAGGTCCCAGAAGGAATGGTCTGATCTCTATAATATTTTTAACAGATATTGTGCTGATGGAAATATTGAGATGTGCCAAGTCTGAATGGAATCGAAGGTTAATTTCGCGTTTTATGGGCTTCATGAATATTCAAAATTTTGACCCTTTGTGGGGGAGGTACCAGAAGGAGTGGACCGATATATTCCATCTTTACACCATACATTCGGTAAATAAAAATATTGGGATGTTTGTAATTTAAAGAGCAACGGATGCTTTTTTCGGATTTTATGGTCGTTTTGGTTATTCAAAACGATGACCCTTTGTGGGGGAGGTACCAAAAGGAATGATCCAAACTCTACCATCTTTATGACAGATCTTGTGTTGCTGGAAAAATTGAGATGTGCCAAGTTTGAATGGAATCGGTTGTTAATTTCGCGACTCATGGATATTCAAAATTTTGAGCCTTTGTGGGTAGGTACCAGAAGTAGTGGACCGATACATTCCATTTTCACACCAGACATTGGGTTAATAAAAATATTGGGATGTGTGTAATCTGAAAGGAACCGAAAGCTTATTTCGAACTTTATGATCGTTTTGGTTATTCAAAACTTTGACCCTTTGTGGGGTAGGTACCAGAAGGAATGGTATGATCTCTATGGTATTTTTAACAGATATTATGCTGATGGAAATATTGAGATGTGCCAAGTCAGAATGGAATCGAATGTTAATTTCGCGTTTTATGAGCTTCATGAATATTCAAAATTTTGACCCTTTGTGGGGGAGGTACCAGAAGGAGTAAACCGATATATTCCATTTTCACACCATACATTGGGTTAATAAAAATATTGGGATGTTTGTAATTTGAAGAGGATGCTTATTTCGAATTTTATGATCGTTTTTGTTTTTCAAAACTTTTACCCTTTGTGGGGGAGGTACCAGAAGGAACTGTCCGATCTATACCATCTTTATGACAGATCTTGTGTTGCCGAAAAAATTAAGATGTGCCAAGTCTGAATGGAATCGGCGGATGTTAATTTCGCGTTTTATGAGCTTCAAGGATATTCAAAATTTTGACCCTTTGTGGGGGAGGTACCAGAAGTAGTGAACCGATATATTCCATCTTCACACCAGACCTTGGGTTAATAAAAATATTGTGATGTGTGAAATCTGAAGAAAACCGAAAGCTTATTTCGAATTTTATGATCGTTTTTGGTTATTCAAAACGTTGACCCTTTGTGGGGGAGGTACTAGAAGGAACTGTCCGATCTATACCATCTTTTTTACAGATCTTGTGTTGCCGGAAAAATTGAGATGTGCCAAGTTTGAATGGAATCGGATGTTAATTTCGCTATTTATGAGCCTCATGAATATTCAAAATTTTGACCCTTTGTGGGGGTGGTACCAGAAGTAGTGGACCGATATATTCCATTTTCACATCAAACATTGGGTTAATTAAAACATTGTGATGAGTGTAATCTGAAGAGAACCGAAAGCTTATTTCGGATTTTATGATCGTTTTGGTTATTAAAAACGTTGACCCTTTGTGGGGGAGGTACTGGAAGGAATGGTCCGATCTCTACAATATTTTAAACAGATATTGTGCTGATGGAAATATTGAGATGTCCCAAGTTTGAATGGAATCGGGTGTTCATTTTGCGTCTTATGAGCTTCATGAATATTCATAATTTTGACCCTTTGCGGGGGAGGTACCAGAAATAGTGGTCCGATATGTCCCATCTTCACAGCAGATCTTGTGCTAGTAGAAATAATGAGATGTACGAAATTTCAAGAGATTCGGATGCTTATTTCGAATTTTATGATCGTTTTGGTTATTAAAAACTTTGACCCTTTGTGGGGGAGGTCCTGGAAGGAATGGTCCGATCTCTACCATCTTTAGATGTCAGATCTTGTGTTGCCGGAAAAATTGAGATGTGCCAAGTCTGAATGGAATCGGATGTTAATTTCGCTATTTATGAGCTTCATGAATATTCAAAATTTTGACCCTTGGTTGGGGTCGTACCAGAAGGAGTGGACCGATATATACCATCTTCACAGCAGATCTTGTGCTAGTAGAAATAATGAGATATGCGAAATTTCAAGAGATCCGGATGCTTATTTCAAATTTTATGATCGTTTTGGTTATTCAAAACGTTGACCCTTTGTGGGGGAGGTACCAGAAGAAATGGTCCTATCTCTACCATCTTTACAACATAGCTTGTGTTGCCGGAAAAATTGAGATGTTCCAAGTCTGAATAGAATCGGATGTTAATTTCGCTATTTATGAGCTTCATGAATATTCAAAATTTTGACCCTTTGTGGGGGAGGTACCAGAATTAGTGGACAGATATATTCCATTTTCACACCATACATTGGGTTAATAAAAACATTGTGATGAGTGTAATCTGAAGAGAACCGAAAGCTTATTTCGGATTTTATGACCGTTTTTGTTATTCAAAATTTTAACCCTTTGTGGGGGAGGCACCAGAAGGAATGGTCTGATCTCTACAATATTTTTAACAGATATTGTGCTGATGGAAATATTGAGATGTGCCAAGTCTGAATGGAATCGAATGTTAATTTCGCGTTTTATGAGCTTCATGAATATTCAAAATTTTGACCCTTTGTGGGGGAGGTACCAGAATTAGTGGACCGATATATACCATCTTCACAGCAGATCTTGTGATAGTAGAAATAATGAGATATGCGAAATTTCAAGAGATCCGGATGCTTATTTCGGATTTTATGATCGTTTTAGTTATTCAAAACTTTGGACTTTTGTGGGGGAGATACTAGAAGGAATGGTCCGATCTCCACCATCTTTATGACAGATCTTGTGTTGATAGAAATATTGAGATGTGCCAAGTCTGAATGGAATCGGGTGTTAATTTCGCGTCTTATGAGCTTCATGGTTATTCAAAATTTTGACCCTTTGTGGGGGGTACCAAAAGGAGTAAACCGATTTATTCCATTTTCACACCAGACATTGAATTAATAAAAATATTGGGATGTTTGTAATTTAAAGAGCAAAGGATGCTTATTTCAAATTTTATGATCGGTTTGGTTATTCAAAACTTTGTCCCTTTGTAGGGAAGGTACCAGAAGGAATGGTCCGATCTCTATAATATTTTTAACAGATCTTGTCTTGATGAAAATATTGAGATGTACCAAGTCATAATGAAATCGGAGATTGATTTAGCTATTTATGAGCTTCATTAATATTCAAAATTTTGACCCTTTGTGGGGGGAGGTACCAGAAGGAGTGGTCCGATATGTCCCATCTTCACAGCAGATCTTGTGCTAGTAGAAATAATGAGATGTACGAAATTTCAAGAGATTCGGATGCTTATTTCGTATTTTATGATCGTTTTGGTTATTCAAAACTTTGACCCTTTGTGGGGGAGGTACCAGAAGGAGTTGACCGATATATTTCATCTTCACATCAGACCGTGGGTCACTAAAAATATTGTGATTTTTGTAATTTGAAAGCAATCGGACACTTACATCACATTTTATTAGTGCTACAATTATTCAAAATTTTGACCCTTTGTGTGGGAGGTACTTGATGGACTGGACCGATATTTTCCATTTTCGCACCTGACCTATCACTGATGCAAATATTAGGATTTGCAAAGTTGGAGCAAAATCGGATTATCGTTTCTCTTTTTGTGCAGAAAATATATTTTTTGAAAAGTTCGACCTTTTGTGGGGGAGGTACCAGAAGGAGTGGACCGATATTGTCCATCTACGAACTCGATCTAAGTTTGACAATAATATTTTCGATATACCAAGTTTGGATCGAAGCGGATACTCCCTTCGAGAGTTATCGTGTGCACCAACCAGCCAGCCAACCAGACAGAGGGACGGACATAGTTAGATCGAAATGTTCTGAAATGGATTTGGTCCAAAGAGACCTAGTGTCTAAAACCATTATTTCGATTAGGCACATTCTGGCCGTATCAAGTGATATATACCCCCTGGCCATATGGCTGAGGGAAAAAAAAGCAGGTCCGATTTCGTAAAAATATCATTTGAAGACTTTTCTCAATTTACGATATATGCGGCTTGATCAAATTATCCTGGGTACCTGGGTGGGCACATCAACGTCCTGAACACGCTGACAATAGGTGACGAGTTTGCTGGTGAAATATCGGACCTTACTGTAAATCCATTACCTAATTATTAGGTGATTCACAAATTCTACCTTGAAAAGACAAACACAGATGGCAATGCAGGGAATTGTGGATCCTTTTCCGAAGTAGAAATAAATCCCAACTCTTGAAAATTAGGATAGATATACGAATTGCAGTGGATCACTATATGATCAGATCTCTGACTTCAACATGGGAGGATAACAGCAGTACTTCTGTGTGGAGACGTTCGAACATTTCCATGGTATTTGCCCGGATTTTTATATGGCAAAAATCATTGGATATGAGATAGATACTCCAACATTCTTATCAGATCCCAGTAGACCTCATAAATATTTCAAATTTGCTTTCCTGAATCATTTTCCCCCCAAATCTCTGTTTTTATTTCTAGACCAAAACAAAAAATTTTGCTTTTCATTCCTCTGGACCTGATGATATCCGAAATTAAGTTCATTTACTTTCATTGGCAACATTTTGCTTTTCATTCCTCTGGACTTGATGATATCCGAGATTAAGAAGTCCTCAGAAAACATTTATTTATAGAGGTGCTCCTAGATTTATATCTAGCGTATGGGCGGTCTTGAGATCCTCTTTTTTCGGAGATCATATAGAGAGCTTTTTACCATCTTCCTCATACCTCTAAGCATTTTTTTCTGTTCTATGAAAAATCGATGTTCTCTACCGAATTTCCTACTCACCTTCTTGATAAATTATCTCCCGAATTCAAAATACTCGGCTGATTGTCATTGACTTGGCATGCCAAACGAATGAGGAAATTCAACACCGTATCACAGTGGACTTTACCAATGGAACGGCTGCTTTCATCCATTTTCGAGCTTATCGAGGCCGCAGAAGTACCTGGATAGAAAAAAAGATATTATCATTAATCAAATATTCAAAAAAAAAAAAAAAACAACTCACTTGTTCTGGCCACCACCGCAGCCTCGGTATTCAATTTCTTACGATGTGATTCGGCAAAATCATCACCGGTACTGCGTTTCACTGCCGTCTTATCATCCATTTCATCATCCATATTGGCATTGAGTTTGCTCTCCGTTTCATCCTCTTTGATACGTTGCAGCTCCCATTTGATAATGACATCGGCCAGTTCAACCGATAACTTTTTATGTTCCAACGAAGCATTGGGTGGGAAACCCAAACGTTGCATATAATTCACCAGATGTGTAACCAATTGATGACGCACCGGAAAATAGACTTTATAGTGCCGAACAATTAGTTGCAAAATATGAAATAGCTGTTGCATAGAGTGACCCTCTTCCACAATGATTTTCTTTGTCCAATGGGTAAGCATGGTGTTGCCATCTTCCATGCGCAGTGGCATGGCTGGTGTTAAGACATCCAAAGCTTGTCGTACAACTGGCCGAGCCTCTAAGGCATGACCCTTGAGCAGCGAATGGAAAACTTGTAGTACAATTTTCTTGTGTATAGCCAGGCGCGCAATGATATGGGCCAGCAGCAAATGGCCATGATAGCGGGCTGTGGGATCGACAGAATTTTTACTCAACAAACATGGCCAGGCAAAGGTCATGAGCCGGCGCAACTTGTTGCCCTGTATGCGATTATTGGCATCGCCATCATGTATGTGCTGGGAGGCCCTTTCCACCAGCAGACAGGCAAACTGCAGCAAAGCAATGCGCACCGCATCATCCTTGGCATAGGGCTTTTCGGGATCAAATACTTTGCTATTGATGAAAACGGAAACAATATTTGTTTCATCTTCCTGGAATTGAGTGGGTGGTGCACCAATCAGTTTATTGCCCTCACCCTTGTCGAAACTGGCCACAAAGCAGGGTATCAAAATCGAGGTAATTATCTTAGCCTTCAGCTCTTCCGACAGCGAGGCATTGTTGAAATTTTCAATGAAATAAAAGAATGCCTGACGTTTCCAGTAGACCGTATAACTCTGGGCCACGGTGTTTTGTAGAAAATCTCGCAGGAAATAAAAATCGGGAATGAAATGCAAGCACAGAGCTCGTGACAGCTGGAACAGCAATTCAATTTCATTGGTATTGTGTGAGAAATATTTCAACAGAATCTTTCCCACCAAATGCCATTTATAGCTAATGACATTCTCCTGGCAGCTGTTGCTCAGGTTGTATTGCCACAGTTGTTTCAGGCAATTGATTAGATCGGTTTGGACGGCAATCCATTGGTCATCACATTCCATGACTGTGTAGACAATTTTAATGGCCTGCTCTTGGACCTCTTGTTTTTGTTCATCATTCATGATGGAACTGTCGATTTGTCCACAGCTTATCAAACGTATCAAGGCCTTAATACATTTCGCTGTCTTGAGGGCAGCATGGAAGGGTTTGCCATCTTTGTGCTTCAGCAGATAGATAAAGAAACGATTCCACTGGGCATCCACAATGTAGACATCGGATAGGAAATAATCCACCGTTTGTTGGGGGAAACGTAAAAGAAATTTCAGCAAAGGAGCCCGATAGGGTGATGATGATTCGATCATTAGATTCTTTTCCGTTTGCAGAACCAATTGACAGAGATTCTCGATGTATTTCGGTGTGGCTGCTGTTATCTGGTGGAACATTTCAATGAGGCATACTCCCTTTTGTTCGTATTCTCCTCCTCGTATGGCAGCAAAGAAATTACCACCCTGTTGGCCTTGTTTACAGATCTGCACAGACATTTCCAGCAGATTGCGACACAGTTCAAGTATCTGCTCACTGAACTTCTCCTTGAACATGTGAGGGAAAAGCTGGGTAAAATACGACAATCTCTTTGTGGCGGTGAGTGTTAGATTCCGGTAATCGCCCAATATCATTAGCAGCGGACGCATGTAATTGTTCAACTCCATTTTGTCGATATGTATGCCAGCATTGAAACGTTTCATACACTGGAAGGCTGCCTCCTGCAGTTCCGGTTTCTTGTGGTCCATCAACTTGAAGAGGATATTTATGATTTTATCTTTGTGTTGACTGTCGGTAATGTAATGGCAGGCGGCCAAGGCCTTTAGGGCACTTATCCGCAGTGGCACCAGATTGGTGACATTCTTATAACAATCCAATTTCATGAGCGTTGAATCCTCAGCCTCGGATAAGGTTAACAGTTCATGGAAGAATAGTTTGTGGTAGTTATTGTTCAGATCTATGGTAAAAAGTCTGGGCTCCAGGGTGGTACAAAATGTATTGCCTTCCATCAGACCAATTTGGGCATTAACCGGTTGATGACGCAGCAAATGTTTCTTAGGCGGAATAATATCCGCTAATACCTCTTTGTGGGGATCCATTACTTCGGACACGGTTCGATTTTGCAGCTGGGCAACATATTTCAGCGAAGCCATGGATTCTTGCCGTACCAAGGCATTGGGACTGGTCACTTGCCTACACAACTCATGGACCACATCATATGTGGCCTTGGTTCGTATGACGGTAATTTCCTCGCTGGTTTCGAGTTCCTTGGGTGCCATACACAGATCTAGCAGAGAACGCAAATTTGTTTTGGCAATGTAGATGGCTCCATTCGATACCTCTCCCTCCAAATCCATTAGCACAAACATAAATGCCTTTACAAAGGAGAACAAATGCTGATACAGGGAACGGGGCGAGAAATGTTGATACAAGAATTGTATGGCCTTGCAGCCGCCCACCTTGGCGTACCAAGGCCTTTCATAACACAAAGCAGTCATTTTCTCGGCCAAGTATTGCATTAAGGGCAGGCGACAGGCTCGTTCCTTGCTGCCCAAAATATTTGCGGCCGTGTCCAATATCAAACCCATACAAAGTTGTCCCGGTTTACACAATTCCTTCTCTTCATGGCCCATACAAATGGCCAGGGCATCTACCAAGACCAAAGGATCTATGCCATTCAAGGAATAATATTGTTTCACCGGAAACGGACCGGCCTGTTGGGCAATGGCAATCATGGTAAAATGTCTGGCAATTGCCACCATTATGGGAAAAACAAATTCCCTCAAATCTTTGGTGGCCGAGGCCACAAACATTCCCATTAAGGCATTCTGTAGGGTCTTGCGTGCCTGATAGTCTTCGATTTTATTTTGATTTACCGGCACATTGACAATGTTATTCTCCAAGAAGCTGGGATGTAAAAAGAATTTCTGTAGAGTGTGTTTTTCGTCGTCCAGATTTATGGAGGCAGCCAAATAACAACGTATTACCTCCCAACTTTGTCGCCTATAAAATGAATCCGTGGCATTGGAGCTGAGAGCATTGAAGGCCGTCTCAATGGCTTTGTCTATGGGAAAATCAATGGGTTTTTCATGTTCTTGGAAATAGGCCACAACAGATGTGGGCTGGATTTCGCTATTTGTGTACTGGATACATTGCGGTTCGGTCATCATTTTACGATTACCACCACCAAATTTCCCCAAGACACGGAATGCCACCAAGGCAGCATTATCTTGATTGCGTAGCGTTTTCCACAAGGCTTGCATGAGGGCAGCTCTCACCGGTTGTATGTGGTCATAGAGGAAATCGGGTTGCAAATTATCCACACATAATTCCAAGGTACGGAGACCCTAAAAAAAACGCAAAGCAAAAATTACACTTTGTTTTTCATATCTCCGACAGCAACTTGCCTGGCTAACCAAGGTTGCTGAACCATTTAAGGCCGATACCAATGGATCCATTAACATTGGCAAATAGGGCAAAAGTGAAGACAGCCTCACCGGCACCGTAAGACACAGCTCCACAAAAAGATCTTTCATGTGTTGTTTGTGGAAACCACTTTGCAGGCGATTTAAACCCTCCAAAAGATTTGGTAAAAGTGGCAAAAATTCTTGATACAACAAATCATGTGAACCACCTCCAATCGAACGAAATAGGGCTCGAAGCAGAAGGAAATAGTTGTAGGGTTCTTCGGCCGTCAAGGCCAATTCCATTGATTGATTAACAATACTATGGAGATGGGGTTTCAGCATTTGTTCATTTTCCACGGGAAAAAGACTAACACTGCCAAATACCAATTTAAAAAGCCTCAGATACAGATTGGATCTTTCCACATTTGTACCCATTTCATGCATTTTACCCAATAGATATTCGACCAGTATGGTGGCAAATAATGGCGAAGTCTGGGGATTGGCCAAAAATGAATTGGCCACAATTTGCAGTGAGGGATTTTTGTGTATACGTTCGACCATAAAATCAATGGTTGTGGCAAATACTTCTTGGAAATTTTGTGGATGCATCATGAGGAACTGCAAAGGAAATGAAAGTAATTTGTAAATTTTTCTATGCTGAGAAGAAGAAGAAGCAACACTTACAATGCCACTAAAATGTTCCAGAACTTCCTTCTCCTCCTTTGTGCGTGGCATATTACCAGATGTTTTCAATTGATTTGCGGCATTTATGGAATAAATATCTAAAGCCTCCATGGCCCAGTGCACCAAATCAATGTAGATGCTAACCTCGTAGGGTTGAAATATTTTCTCCTGTTTTATTTTGGTAACATCAACGGAGGGGGACTAAACGGAGGGAGTAGAAAACGCATTAAAAAAAAGAATTGTTTTTTTTTTTTTTTTAAATGGATAGATTACCTTGGAGCTAACAAAACCCCAGGTTATGGTTTTAACACCGCCCACCAATGTTTTTACCAGGCTGCGATATTCAACAATATTTAGCGAGCATAGCATTTGATTTCCCGTCAATTGATTTTTGGCAATTGAATCTGCATTAGTATCCTAAAAACCAAAAATAATGGTCAATCAATGTTAGATACCTAGTTGCAAAAATAATATGTTATTACCATAATTGCTGCTGTTTCCTTGCCCTCCAAACCAGTTGCATTCGAAGCTGGTGATGTGCCTGAGGCAGACTGGGCTTTCCTAAGTTTTAGAAAAAATATTTAAAAAGAAAAGGATATAAATCTCATTTCACAAAACTTACAATCTCTGGGTTATTGTGGGCAATGTTATTTTGGCAATTGTTTGGAATTTGTAGACAAATACCTTTAGCAAGGTTGTTAGTAAATTCCTTGCCTTCAGAGGATCCATTTCACTGTGTTGCCTTACACAGTCTACCAAATTGAGTAAGAGTTTGCATGACATGGTCTGTATGCTGGTGGCCAGCGATTCGTCATGAACATTTTTGGAAAACAACTTAATGGCCTTCTCCAAGACATCAAGACTTAAACTTTGCCTTAAATGATGGGCCAAATCAGCCAATGTGGAATAGGCCAAGGGACGTATCGAGTCCAAGGTTACCCCCTTGCCAATCAATAAATCCTCATCGAACAAACGTTCAATGGAGGGAATGAATTCTAAAACAGAGAATAGAAAATTGTTGATAAATACATTTCTTTTAAATGTTGAATTATTTGCGGGTACTTTGTCTTAGATCCGTGGCAAAGATATGCCTTGTGGCAATCAAAAGTTCCTTTCGCAGATGGGCTGCTTCTTTGGGACACAAATGCATAAGGCTTAATATGCCACTTGTCACCAAAGCTGAATGATTCATGGTGTTCTCTTGGAACAGTCTTACAATGTAGGCCAAAAAGGAGAGGGTTTTGATCTGGGCATACATGAAATCGATGAAGATTTCCTTGTTGAAAAATTGGGAATTTCTGCAAGGAGGAAAATATTGAGACATTGAGAGAATCGATCTCGATCAATATATACATTACCTATGTACTGCTGAGGGTTGTAAATTGATGGTGGTCATTATCAATGGTATAAATTCTGAGACTTCTTGATGTACGGCATTCTTGTAGATTTGATACATTAACACCACAATAATGGGCAATTCTTGTAATACCCTCAGAGATAACATGCCTCGCGGCAAAAGGTTATACTATTGTAGGGGAGAAAGGAAAAAAAGGGGACACACATTGAGAATGACATGATAAATTTCGTTATGTATTTCACAATACCATTTGATAGGTAACCGGTTCTGTGGGATTTTCCAAATGTATGGTCTTAATGACATAGGTTTCTGATAACAATTGTTCCATGTTTAACTCCTTGAGTTCTTTGATTTTTATCTGTTGTGTGGGCTCGAAAATTTTATTCATATGATTGGGCAGTTCTGTGTAGATTTTCTTCACCAATGCCAAAAACTGTTGGACCTTTGAGGGGGAAAAATATAAAAAAGGTTTAGTATTGGAACCAAATAGCCCTGTTCCAAAGCAAACTTTCAATCTATACTTACCTCATTATTGAATGATGGTCGAAAACTTTTGTGCAATTCAATGATAATGCGCAGGCAGACCAGGACATTTTCTTCATTATCGATTTGAAGGATGTTTAACATCAGCGATATTATGGACTTGACATGTTGGCGTAGATTTTCGGTGATCGGCAGGCGATGTATCATTTCCAGAATTAATTTTCGTACCTAAAAAAAGCACAGGCCATAGAAGTTCATTAAAACAAGACTTCCAGGGAGAGAGGGGGGAAGAAGGTGGTATTGTCGGCTTACCTGATGAGCTTGATACTCTTGTATGAACTGCGGCTCACCATCTTGCAGGAAATGCATAAACGCCTTAAGCGAATGCTCCAGAAACGATGGATACGATGAACTCTGGACAACTACCTCAAAATGTTCACTCAATTCCTGGGCTGCTTTCAGTTTTTTGTCATCCGTCGCCTTGCTATCGGCCAGTATTGAAACATAGCTGCGAAATGTGTTTAATTGAAAATTTTCACTGTGCGCCATTTTGAAAAGGCATCCGGCAATGGATTGCAAATGATTACACCGTTATATATTGATATTTTTAATTTTTATTTAAGTTTTGCGACAATATCTAAATTTTTGCTGTATTTTTGCTTCCGCTCGGTATTTTCGCATTGTAGGGTTATGTAGGTCGACAAAAAAAATTTGAAAAACACGAAAAATGTGTAGAAACAAATTGGTCTGATAAACGCATGGAGCAAAACAAAACCGGCGTGTTGTCATAGGGTTAGCACAATCGTTTGCTGCAACAGGGTGATTCAGGAGAAATAAAAACCGATATTTTCTTTTTTTGGGGTGATGTAGTCTAGGCGTTTCAGAGTATGGTACCATGGTACAATGATATCAAGGTAGGGCTATTATACCATATGATTTTATTTTTTTATCTTCATGGCTTAATATGGCATCTTTTTTGGTTATGTGTGGGTATTCTTTTCATAAATAAAAAAATTGTTCAGAAAACATTCAAATTCGGATGTTTTCAAAATGTTTATTTCATCGTATGCACCGATAAAATCTACAGTTTTTGTAGGGAAATAAACCTTTAGGAATACATAAAACATGATTTTGAAAAGAAATTTTGTAAATTCATTCAGTTTTCGCGGTTTTCAATTATTTATTCGAATTCTACGCAACAAGTTGTTTGATTTTTTGATTGTTTTGATAGTAATTCAGGCATTAGGTGTGTCTGGTTACTCTAAAATTTGTAACAATGGTTACAAATTGTTACTGGACGTCGTCTGTTTACCCGAAAGTTCTGCAAAAGAGAGCGGTTGGAGAGAGAAATTTTGACAGGTTTTTTAGTGAGAGTTTGCAATGTCTTGCTGGACAAATTTCTCCCTGCAATCACTTGCAACTCTTCTTCTTAATTTATTTATTTTTGTGCTTTCGTTTTGAAAATATTTTTTTTTTGTTTTTGGAATTAGCAAGTCTAATTGTGTTTTTAAGAACAACTCTACAAAATGTAAAAAACGTAAACATTAATATGTACTAAGAAAATAAAAGACTATTTCCAATATTTTTAGTCAAACGCCATTAGCAACACGCTTAAAAGATTCCTAATTTCCTTTTCATTTATAAAACTTGTATAATTGGTGGTGCTTGCTTTCTTTTAATTATTTTAATGGGGGACATATTGGTTTGTTTTGACAAATCAGCTGATTAGTTGCAAGCTTCTGCAGGAATACCGTCTATTTACTTTTCGAATTTTCCTTGCAAAAGAGAATAAAACTACTATAATCTCTCAGAAAGCTGTTACTGGACAATTCCTGCAGGAAAAGTAACCAGACACACCTATTACAAGCCAAACAGGTAGACCTCTATACTTGCAATTTTTTCAAAGTCTTCTTTGTACCATGGTTCAGAATCAAAGGAAGATGATGCTGGCGTTTTTTTATTAAAAATTATTTTCAAATAATCTTTGGTGGCGGATAACAAGCCACCAAAGATTATTTCATTATTTGGTTACTTGGAACCATGGTACAATGAAGAGAAGTTAGGCCAACTTTGAAAAAATTGCAAGTACAGAGGTCTATCTGTTTGGCTTGTAATGTCAGAATTAGTATCAAAACAATAAAAAATCAAACAACTTATTGCATTTATTTTAAATAAATAATTGAAAACCGCGAAAACTGAATTAAAGGTCAACACTTCTTTTCAAAACCAAGTTCTATATTTCTCTAAAGGATTATTTCGCTACAAAAACTCTAGATTTTGTCGATGCATACGATGAAATAAACATTTTAAAAACATCCGAATTTGAATGTTTTCTGAACATTTATTTGTTGTTGAAAACAAAACTCATACATAAACAAATAAAGATGACATATTAAGCCAAGAAAATAAAAAAATTGAAATCATATGGTATCATAGCCCTACCTTGAATTCATTGTACCATGCTTGGAACGTTTTTCATTCAATGCTAATCATTTACTGTACATTGCATGTATTTCTTGAAAGACGACGATGAAATCAATGAAATTCTTGTTCTGTTAAGGCACCAAACTAACACAATATACACTATTTTTAACAGACATCAAATGCTGTCCCAGTTTAATTTTTTATTTGTAATTAGTTTCCCAAAAAGTTAACCATTTACTGTGATTTATTTCGGAAGAAGAAATTGCTATAAATATTTGTTTTTTTTTTTTTTTTTGAATATAAATTGTAATCGTGTTTGTGTAAACATGTTCGAGATTAACCCTGCAAAAGTATGTTAGAAGACAGCAAGTGTAAGGTTTAAATGCCTTACTGATTCTATAATATCCTGCCAAAGATATTTGTTTCTTTGGCAACAAATTCAAAATTGTAGACTATTCATAAAAATTAACAATTTAATTATGTTGGGCTTAAGAAAGCACAGTTGTACGGGAGTCGGCAACTGTTTTTATTGGAAGCCTTTGGTCCATTGAGTTCAAAACCTGTGATTTAGCTATTTGTGCCATGCTTGAAACGTTTTTCATTTAATGCTAATCACTCACTGTACATTGCATGTGTTTCTTGAAAGACGACGTGGAAATCAATATAATTCTTGTTCTGTAAATTCACTAAACTAACACAAAATGTACTGCTTTTAACAGACATCAAAAGTTAACTCAGTGGAGAACAAACATTTCCCTCGTTTAATTTTTTATTTGTAAGTAATTTCCCACAAAGCTAACCATTTACTGTGATTGATGTGGGAAGAAGAAATTGCTGTAAATCTTAGCGTTTTTTTGAATATAAATTAAAATAAATTCAAAACTGTAGACTACTCATAAAAATTATCAATTTAATTATGTTGGGCTTAAGAATGCGCAGCTGCGCGGGAGTCGGCAACTGCTTCTCTCGGAGGTCTTTGGTCCATTGAGTTCAAACCCAGTGCTTTAGCTATTAAGTAATAGAGATGGAATTATTCATTCTTAAATTTGACTTTTTCTGTAATTGGTTTATTTCTCAAGAGATATCGTTGTCTATATTATATTAATAACATAATTCTAGTTATAATAATTTGACGGCATCTAAAAATTCCCTTTACATTCCCCACAAACAAAAAAGAAAAATGTAAAACAGAATTTGCATTAACTTTCTTAAATATTAGAATATATTCTATTATCATTATATCGTTTTTCGTTATTATTATAATTTAATCATTTCAAATTTGTTGTAATTATAATTATTTTCACTAAAATTGTATGAGTTTTTTTGTTTTGTTTTGCTATCTCGATCTCTTTGTTTTTGTTTGTGTGATTTGCATTGTTGTTTTTTTATGATTTTTCTTGTTTTTTTGTTAAATAAGACGAAAAAATGAAATTATAATTATGTATAATAATAATAAAAATTAAAAAGTTTTTCTTTTTTTATGAAAAATATATGTATGGTTGTAATATGTTTTGTGTGTGTATGTTTTTTGTTTTTGTAAGTATGTATATAGTACAAATTGGTGCATTGTTACGATTACGATGTATGGCCCTGACAGGCCATGTCTCAAAGGGGACTATTTTCAGAATCATCACGTTCCTGGATAGCAGTTATGCTCTGTTGTAAGGCATTGGGAGTTAACCATTCCCTGAAATATAGGAGGATGAAGAATGTATTGTAAGGTGTGTGTGCTCGTTTGTGTGTGTGTGTTTAATATAATAACACCTACTTTGGCAAGCATCTTTGTAAAAAAGGTACACATGAACTGAAATGGGCTAAACGATTTACCCAACTGGGAATTTCTTGGCCGCAAAGGATCTGCAGACATGAGAAAAGAAAATTGTATAAAAATAAGTATTTCATTTAAAATTATGAATTATGAATTAATAAGAATAGACAATTATTTTTGGAAAGTAAAACTTTTGTTTTGTTGCATCTACAGGGTGAGATGAAAAAACTGCAACCAACTTCAGACTCATTTTATTTCTAAGCCACTCGTCCGACAGCTGTTAAAATTATTCCAGTGACAGCTCATTATATTGTTTACAAGCGTACGAAAGTATTTTGGTGAAAATTTTCCAAAAAAAAATTATTCGCGATGGAATTCAAGCGTGATAGTGTGATTTCTTATATTTGGCTGGAAAACTACAAGTGGCTATCGTTAGAGCACTCCAGCATTTAAATGTGAATAAATCTTTTGGGTCTCGTACCATCGCTTGTTACAGGAATACTGGTGGCGTAGCCCGACGTCAAGGAAGTTGACGGAAGAAAACAGCAATATCATCAGAAATGGTTCGAAAAGTAAAGAAGCAACTGGAAGCAAGTGGCTCGTGACGCTGAACGTATCCCAATATTTCATTCGGCTAATGTTGAAAAATGAGCTCGGGGTAAAGCCATTGAAATTCCAAAAAGTTCAAGAACTTGCACCGCAACCGCAAGAGATAAAGAGTTGCTACGCTTGGCCGAAAGTGGTGAACTGCCGAATTGTCGAGAAAACATTTGTTGTCCAGCAGTTTGCAAACAAACAAAATGATCGTTTTAACTTGCCAAAGAGGTCAGCTGAAAATGTGCACCTTCGGTTGGCCACCAGAACTCAAGCGCCGGCCATGGTGATGGTGTGGGCCGCCATAACAGCCGATGGTCGCTCTCTGCTTATATTAATCGACCGTGGCATCAGAAAAAATACCAAATATTATCGCGAAAATATTCTGGAGGGTGTATTAAAGCCTTGAGCACGCAAGACCTTGGACATTCCAACAGGACTCAGCATCATCGCTCTCAGCAGGCGCCACCCAAGAATGGTTACAAAATGAGGTTCCCCGTTTCATTTCCAGACTACCATGGCCATCAAAATCTCCGGATACCAATCCGTTGGACTATTGTGTCTGCAGTATTTTGGAAAACAAGGTTGGCACTAAAGAAAATATCAAAGTGTCGATCACCTCAATGGGCCAAAATATCGCAGACAACATTCGGTCAGCGTGTGACAGTTTCATTGGCCATTTGGAGGCCATAATTCGTGCCAAAGGTCATCAATTCGAACAAATCTAAATTTATTCTAAAATTTGATGCTATTCCCGATATTTTTCGCTTTTTTTTTCAAAAAAAATAAATAAATTAAGAAAAATTTTAAAAATTATGGCGTTTGTCTTTGTTGCAGTTTTTCTATCTCACCCTGTACATGCCATATACATTTTAAATAGCTCTATATTCCCTCCAAAAAATGTCCTCCTTACCTGAGTAAGTGCACTGGAAAAATGATTGCAATTATTGTTCATTAAATGGTAACGGTCACCACGAAATTGATTGCCCAATTCCTAAAACAAAACAAAAAGAAATTGTATTTAAAAAAAGACCATTCAAAATTTATAAATAATTCATGACTAACCTCCACAATACGACGAACTTCTTGATACGTAAAATCTGTACATCCTATTTGTATACTTTGTCTAAATTGAAATTGATCGCCGAGTTCATCGTGATCCCTGGGCGTTATTTCGAATACTCCGGTAAATGAAAATGGATGACCTCCATAGGCGAATTCGGTGCCAAAAACTTCAACGCCCGAATGAAAAACACCCAAACCTATTGATGTTGTGTATTCATTTATCCAATACTGGGTCGGAAGAAACCAAATGACAATATGTTACAAATTTGGGTAAAATATATAATATGTTTGCCACAAACTTACCATATCGTATACATTCAAAATTACCGGTTCCCGATTGCCAGTATTGGAGGGCAGTAGTTCATCATTTCCACTATCTTTGGATATGCCCAAGCAACTGGGAAACGGTAAATTGCAAGGAAGACCATTCGAAAACATCTCGCATGAATATTTACTAACTGCAATGGGAGTTGGGAAATGGTAGGAAATTCCTGGTTATTTTATTATTTGGTTAATATTCCAAGCACATAGTTTGTGGAACAGTTCTTAGTTTCTTTTTTGTGTTCTTTTTTTTTTTGGTTCAAAGTAAAAAAATCGATGTAAAATGATAAATTGTTGTAGGCGCTGCTGCTGCTGCCACAATTGTGCAGTCGACGTCGTAGTAGCTTCACACTCAATGACAACAATGAATGGTATTTATTCTGGTTAAACGACCGACCGACATAGTATTTCTCTGACTATTACACATCATCCAATGACCACCATTGACACCGCTTTGTTTATTTTTTACAATGTCAAATGCTCCAATTACTTTCACCATAAATGAATTGTGTATTCTGCCATCAATTTGTTGTACAACAAAGACAGATTTACTCTTTCTCCATGCATCGCGTCGTCGCTTATTGACTTATTTTTGTTCACCAAAAAAAAAAAAAGAAGACAGCAGCCCAGCAGCAGCAACAACGAACGACGAAACTGGAACACAACACATACCTTATGGTTAAGGATTATATTTTAGAAAAAATATATACACGACAAATTGAATTTGAATTTAACGTTTTAAATTGTTTTTTAACACTTCTTTTTGAACACAAAAATATCATTCAGTTTATGTTTTTTTATGTATCTTTGTGTTAATAAATATTGGGGATGTGTAGTTCGGTTTTTTGGCTAATCGACATATTGGTATCGAGTTATCGATATTTCTTGTGGACTATTTGACGGTCGATCCGATTGGGGGATTTTTAAGCAATTTATTGTAGTTTTTGAACTCAAATAGATATGATATTTTTGAGAAACTTTGTAACAAAGTAATCATTCACATTTATTTGTTATCTTAAATTGCTAGAAAAATTTGTTTTTCAGTTTAATTATCAAAATCGAAAATCGACTTACATATCCCTAAACAGTCTTTTGCAATGTTCATACGACAATTTGAGTTTTATTGTTTGTTCTGTTCCAAAGATGTAAGAAAGTAAAAGTTTTTACTAAGACAACCGATTTCCCTTTATGACATTGAAAAAAATTGCGGAACTAGTTGATTTTTTATGGTATTGAAACAGAATGCCCAAAAAAATAATAAAGATGAATACAGGTAGCTGCATCAACGCTTGTGAACATTGATATGTCAAAGATGTTTTGTTTCTTCAAAAATAAGTAGATTTGGATATGTTTTCCTGCAGAACGCCAATCGGAGGTTGTTATGATATGCATTTTTTTAAACAATTTTTACAAATTTGAATAATTTTTCATTCAAATATTTAAATTTCAAAATTCATTTCACTGTCTCAGTAGCTGTGTCGATGCGGCTACCTGTATTCTTTTACCATTGACGCCGAATACGTTTCCAAAAAACGCGTTATTTAGATTGTCAATTACATTAATTATATGTCAAATAGATGACGAATGTTCGTTAAACGCATAATTTATATGCCGGTATAAAGTAGATTTAATTAATTTTTCCTGTATTTGATTAAAAATTCCTGTTTGGTAAATAATTGAAAGACAGCTGTGTTTTCATCCCCAAACGTCACTGCAACTTAGAAATTATAATTGGTCTGTTCCAGAATCTGAAGGTAGGTTGATAAAATTTTACTCAAATGTGTATTATGTCTGCAGGACTTTTGGTATTGAAAATGGGTGATGTATGTCCACGTTTTGGTATAGCCCCCATATAATGGTACCTCCCTTTTTTCGGCATTTTGACGATTCACTGGAAATGCTTCAAATTTGGTATTTGAAGTTCGTAATGGGTGCTACAGCCTATGACAGAAAATTGTCTGTGCAAGTCTACGTCTTCATATAGCCCCCATATAACCTCCCGATATTCGGTATTTTGATGATTTTAGCGACATTATTCACCGGAATCGTTTAAAATTTAATGTTTGAAGTTCGTAATAGATACTACAGCCTATGACAGAAAATTGTCTGTGCAGGTCCACTTCTTCGTATAGCCCCAATATGATATTAGCTACATTATTTACCGAATTTATTATTCAAGTTTCGCATTAGAATATTGTAATGGTTTATGACAAAAGATGGCGTACACGTCGTCGTATAGACCCTAATATAACGCCTACATTCGGTATTTTTGAAAAATTTTTACAGAATTTTTAACGGATTTTATTTTTTTCAAAACTGTCAAATTTGTTCCAAATGGTGGTGGGTATTCAAAGATCGGCCCGCCCGAACTTGTAGCTTTTTTACTTGTTTCGATATCATGAGGTGAAAATCGGCTATCATAATAAAAATTTGTACATTCTTGCAGTTCTCGAAAAAGACCAAATAAAAACTCTAGTGGGGTTCCGCAAAACAACACGAAAATAAGAAGTTCTTTGAAGAAATATTTCTCTTTTATTTTTTCTGATACATAAATCTGAATTTTAGAAGTTTAGGTTTCAATTGGGCCTCGAAGTCATAGAATTTAAAAGTCAAATGTAGCAGTTCTATGACTATTCTTTAATTTCCATTGGGCGCCATTATTAAAATTTGGCTCAAACAGTTCAGTATAGTAGAAAAAATTCGCTGAGCGGCATAATTTCATGCTATTCAATAACTTTATAATGTAAAATAGGATGGTCACACCAATCAGAATTCAATAAATTCTCTATGTAAATTTTCCAATTTCACTAGATTAGGTTATCGATTATTCTCATCTTAAATTCTTTTTCCAAGGGGCTGACTACTTGTACTCGAAAATAAGAATTGAAAAAAATTGTCTTTATAAAAGTTTTCATTTCAAGAACAAGAATCGAAGACCTTGGGCTGAATTCTTGTTCTATGAAAACAGAAATGAAAAATATTTCCTTTATAACATTTTTCATTTGACATTTCTTTCCTCTATAAAAGTTTTCATTGGGCGCCATTACTAAAACCAATAAAATAAAAGTCCAGCAAAACAATGTTAAATATTATTATTATTTATTAATACATTGTAAATGAATGTATTTTATGACTTAAATTATCAAAAACACAGTAAAATCGTAAACTTATATATTATGTAATGCCTTATGATGTATATCGTAGTAGTGTAAAATGTTAGTGGGAGGAAGGATTGGATGTATAATGTAATCTCAATACGAAGACGTTGTACGATTGATATGTATGGAATGCCGTTCCTGTTTTCGAAATTTGGCCCGACGATTTTGGAACCAGACCTGCAAGAGAGAGAGAGAGAGGAGAGAAAAGTATAAGTAAGGCAAATTAGAATACAATTTTAAAGTATCAGGATTTATTTTTTTGCGTCGGCAGGCCGAGATGAAAAAACTGCAACCAACTTCAGACTGCTGTCATTTCAAAGCCACTCGTCCGACAGCTGTTAACATTATTCCAGTGATAGCTCATTGTATTGTTTACAAGCGTACAAAAGCATTTTGGTGAGAATTTTCCAGAAAAACAGTTATTCGTGATGGAATTCAAGCGTGATAGTGCGATTTCTTCATGATTGGCTGAAAAACCACAAGTGGCTATCCTTAGAGCACTCCAGCATTTAAACGTGAATAAATCTTTTGTGTCTCGTACCATCGCTCGTTACCGTGATACTGGTAGTGTAGCCCGACGTCAAGGAAGTGGACGGAACAGCAACATCAGCAGATATGGTACGAAAAGTAAAGAAGCGACTTGATCGAAACCCGCGTCGGAGTGACCGAATAATGGATCGTGAGCAAAACATATCGCAATATTCCATTCGGCAAAAATTTAAAAAATGAGCTCGGGATAAAGCCATTGATATTCCAAAAAGTGCAAGAACTTACACCGCCACAAAGAAAAATTAGACTCAAAAGAGCTAAAGAGTTGCTTCGCTTGGCCGAAAGTGGTGAACTGCCGGATTTTTGTTTTCTCCGATCGGAAAACATTCGTTGTCCAGCAGTTTGTAAACAAACAAAATGATCCGCTCGTGTTTACTTGCCAAAGAGGTCAGCTGAAAATGTGCACCTTCGGTTGGCCACCAGAAATCGAGCGCCGGTCATGGTGATGGTGTGGGGGCTGTCATAACAGCCGATGGTCACTGTTCGCTCGTATTAATCGACCGTGGCATCAGAATAAATGCCGAATATTATCGCGAAAATATTTTGGAGGGTGATGTCGAAGGGTTTTACTGATTATCGCCTTGACGGCTTCAATCATGACGCACCATTGCACAGGGGTCGCGATACGATGCGTCGGCCAGCGCCCCTTTGGAATTACCCTGAATTCTCTTAGAGAGTGGTAGCCCTCCACAGAGTTCTAGATCTATTCCGCAGGTACCAATTCCAAGATCAGCTATATGGGCTTCACTTCCTTCTTGGTAAGGGGTTGAGGACTATCTTACACCTCTGCTGCTGTATGGGTCGCAGCACCCGGTTGAGAATGCAACACCAAATCGAGCCGAAGCTCTACCCGCGATTTGGGTATAACCCACAATCACCGCGTTGCACCCAAAACAGGGGCCTCTGCATAGTCAGGCTAGATCAATAGATGTAGGGGCTCCTGACACCCGCGGCATCAGAAGAGTCTCCGGTCAGACTTCGTAGTCGAAACTACTACCAGTTTTTGCTCCATACAGCACTGGACTGGTCATATTCTGGGGGGTGTATTAAAGCCTTGGGCACGCAAACCTGTTTGGCCGCAGACCTTAGACATTCCAACAGGACTAAGCACCATCGCACTCAGCATGCGCCACCCAAGAATGTTTACAAAATGAGGTTCCTCGTTTCATTTCCAGCGCACAATCTCCGGATACCAATCCGTTGGACTATTGTGTCTGGAGTATTTTGGAAAGCAAGGCTGGCACTAAAAAATACCAAAGTGTCGATCACCTCAAGCCAGCGCTTCGCCGGGAATTAGCCAAAATACCGCAGAGCAACATTCGGGCAGCGTGTGACGGTTTCATTGGCCGTTTGAAGGCCATAATTTGTGCCAAAGGTGACCAATTTGAACATATTAATGCAAATTATAATGGAAAACGACGGCTGGATTTTAGTGCGGCTCTGTAATCCCTTTATGAAATGTCACAAAATATGCCTAGCCATGACTTCATGCTTCTTATGTACTTAGCCCTTTACACCCTTATTCTAAAATTAGAAGCTATTTCCGACAATTTTTACTTTAATTCAATAAAAAATTTAAAAAAAAATGTAAGAGTTATGGCATTTGACTTTGTTGCAGTTTTTTCTTCTCACCCTGTGAATGAGAAAAGAAAACCAACTGAATGGTTTGGCTGTAGTTTCAATTCTGATTTTATTTTAGGAATATGTTTCTTACGTACTACTGAAACTGATCTAACTTAACCTAGTCGCAGCCACACAATTGTTCTTATCTATTCTAATACTGAATGGAGAACATTGCAGGGCTGCTTGACATCTCATTCAAGTGGTCTTGTGCATCTACTGAGCGCATCGATATCTGTGCGTGTGGGTCATAACCTTTATTATCTCACACATTATCGTATGCGTCAGCGCACAAGATCGCCGAGTTCTTCACATGTGATATTTTATGGCGGTTGGGAAATATTTAATTTTAGAACATTTATCTTTTATTGCTACATTTTCCCAGCGGGTCGATCGCACTCAAAAGTATGTACAAAGTATTTTGTACACCCTGTATATCTGTAATTTATCCCAAATCACTGAATTTGGAAACTGAATCTCCCAACTTCCAGGCTTTCTTGGGAAATTAACAAAGGAGCCTAGGGCCAAAATCGAACTAGGTCAACCTAAAACTCCTTTGTTCATATACGAAGAAGCCAGCCGATGACTTAAGCCCGCCAAATATGCTTCCGCCTTAAGACTGGAAATACATAAAGCGCTTATTTGACTGGCTTGACAGGTGCCAGCATGGTACAATAAGGAGGTAGAACAGCTTTGTAAATCTAGAGAAATACAACTCTGAGGTTATGCCCGCTTTTTGTCAGATTTAGTCAAAATTATAAATTTTCATTTATTTCAAATTTTTTGCTCATTTTTAAAATGACTCAATAATAATGCCTGAATTTTATTTCAAAAATATGATCCAGAGTGTTCAATCTTTCAATTCGATGGCTAAACTGACATAGAAGTGTAAAGATAGGACAAGACAGAGTCTAAATATGGTAACCCTGTGAAAATACCTCTGTTGTTACGATATCATAACAACATAGTTACCAATGTTAACTGGTTTAAACCGCTAAGGCATGTGCAAATTTTCGGAATGGTCCATGAAATAGAATTTTGAAACCAAAATGTTGGATTTCTCAAATTTTTATTTTTTATCTGTTTCTGTAATTGTGGTTTTTATATTAACATGTCTCTGCCATGAACTGTTACTCTATGTATTGTAGACACAAACCCTTTGCTCAAAATTAATTTTGTCTAGTCTTTACCATTTTAGGTCTTTGCTTTGTTCATCGTAGAGTTTTAGGTTGTCTTAGTTCAATTTTGGCTCTAGGCTCCTTTGTTCATTTCCGAAGAAGCCAGCCGATGACTTAAGCCAACCAAATATGCGCTTTATGTATTTCCAGCCTTAGGAAGTAAATGCCGGGCATCTTCTAAAAATAATTTAATAAAATGCAATTTGAAAAAATGTGTACAGAACAAAGAAAAAAAAAACTGACAACATTTCAAACGCAATGACTTGTTTCCAATTTGACAAGGCTATAATTATTATGAAAGCAAAATAAGCATTTGATAGGAAATGTAAACAACCCTCCAACACTTAGCTATCAACAATCGACCAATATTCACCCGCTTACTTCCCAACATACGGATATTGGTCTGCTCGCTCTAAAAACTTCAAAGTGACCGAAGCAATCATTCTTTAGACGAATGAGAGGGAAAATAAGCATGTTCAATTCCCTAGAGACTCAGCAGTTAACGAAACCAGGGTGTAATTGTTGCTTTTTTAATTCATTTAGTACAATTTTCCACATGGGCAGACATCAGGCACGAGCCAGCACGTGCCCTTGGAATTAAGGCATATTTTGAGTGAGATTAGATGTAACTTGGAAAAATTAGATTTGGTCGATTTGCTGAAAATTAAGTGGACATTTGTTATTTTTTTCGAGAGAAAGGTAGTGGAAGACATGGTAAAATTAAGAAGCAATTAATAAACAACCATATCCATCCCTGCATTTTCTGTAATTTTACCTTGTCAAATTTCACTGAATAAAAAAGAGGTTCCCATCTCTGATTTCACATAAAATCTGGAAATTCTACCCATGACTTTGGAATCCACTCAGTCACTGAAAAGAGAAAATGTAAACGCCTCTCATACAAATAGAGGTGGCAGCGATTGGGCGCCAATATTATATTGACCATTTTTATACCCTCATCCACTTGATATGGCAAAGCGTGCCTCACCGAATTACGGGTTTAGACCCTAGGTCTCTTTGGACCAAATCCGTTCCAGGTCATTTGGTGTCGATCTAGCGATGTACATCCTTCTGTCTGTCTGGCTGCATGGTGCGCACAATAACTCTCGAAGGGAATATCCGATTTCCGATCCAAAATTGGTTCATCGTAATATTATTGTCAAACTTAGATCGTGTTCGGAGATGGGCAACATCGGTCCACTCCTTCTGGTACCTCCCGCACAAAATGTCAACATTTTCAAAGAAAATAATTTACGGCACAGAAAGAGAAAGAATGGTTACAAAATAAGGTACTCGCTTCATTTCCGACGCAGAATGGCTACCAAAATCTCCAGATACCAATCCGTTGGACTCTTGTGTCTGGAGTATTTTGGAAAGCGAGGTTGGCACTAAAAAATACCAAAGTGTCGATCACCTTAAGCGAGCGCTCCGCCGTAAATGGGCCAAAATGCCGCAAAGCAACATTGGGGCAGTGTGTGATGTTTTCATTGGCCGTTTGAAGGCTATAATTTGTGCCAAAGGTGACCAATTCGAACTTATTTCTTATTATTCTAAAAGTTGATGCTATTTCCAAAAACCGATTGATACATTATAATTTTAAATTTGGGATATAAAATAATAACAATTGGGCGCCACTTTATGAGCAATACCCCTCTATAATTTTTGTTTTTTATTTTTACACAAACAACAAAGCTTACAACAAAACGTATATTCTCCCTTGGCCAGTCTAGAGAAAAACGACTGATGCAGTCTGAAAATTCCGCTTTCTTTTAGGAGGTTGGAAAGTACCAAGCCATGTTTCACCACACAGAGCATTCACCATACTATAAA